CTTCTTCTTCTTCTTCTTTTTCTTCTTTTTATTATGTTATAGTGTCTTGGGCTGTTTACATCAGAATCTAGATATTTGTATTTTTCGGCCGACACATCCGACTTTTTCGAGCATTTGTTGACCCGACTGACTGACGTTTGACCCAACCAGGACCGCACCACAAAATATAACATCCGGTGACACAAAGTGCCACCATTCGCATAAGAATCACCTAAGCGCAAGTCCCAGAAACCCCGTTTAACCCGTAGGTTATGTTTAGGGCCCCTGACGACAACCGGGGTGAGGCTTTAAAAAAAAAAAAAAAATTACGCTCCATATCAGGGTGGATTACTGACCCGGTTAGCAATCTTGGATTTATGAGAATGATTATCGTCATTAAAATAGGGTGATATGCACCGCATCATCATCATCATATAGCAGGCCCTTTGCAGAACGTCGCTCTCATCACGGTCTGCCTGAAAGAAACTTGGTCTCTCGCCAGTTCTCCTGCCTCATATGATTTTATATTCAAAGAGTCACTTATATCCTGTGAACATCTTCGTGTTGGTCGACCCCTGCCCCTCGTTCCTGGTTACCATGACTTCTGCTGATATTTTTTTTCCAATCCTCAATGGCGCTTGATATGACCTAAATATCTCGGCATCCGAGACAAGATGCTGTTTATTAGCCAATCTTCCTTGACGTTTATATATATTTCTTCTCTTCTTTGTCTATGGTATTCTGAGTATCTATGGCATTTCAGCTTTAAAAGCCTCTATTTTCATCATTAAGGACTAGGAGATAGTCCACGACTCACAGGGAAGATGTGTGATTAACCACATACTTTTAATGGTGTTCAATCTTTGCATTGCTATTTCTCCTTTTGATTTATGTCAAACAGTCTCCATTGCTATTTATTATAGAAAGATATAAAACCGAGCGAAAAGTAAATCAGTGAGCTTCACAATATAACAAACACAATCAAAAAGTTAACGTTGCAACTATAGAGCCTTCATCGACACATACAAAAATCAAACAAAACCACACAATTGCACAAAATCACTTAACTGACGTATCCCGAAGCAGCCACGTTGATGTCTTGCCAGTGGAATTTCACAGATTTATTATAGAGTTAAATACACAAAATAGCTGACTGGGAGGAGACCGCGAGGCCGCACAGGAAGAAGGGGAGAAATAATATACAGGCAGACCTACAAACACTTAGATTTACAAAAAAAAACGAAAAGAAGGCTAATCAAAGAGAGGAGAGGATGCTGGTGATGGCAGCAATGAGGCGCTTCAGTTATAATTATTTTGAATAGTATAAGGCCACAAAAAAGGCCTCTCTAACAGCCTAGAAAATGTTTAAGGGGCTGAATCACCCCCCCCCCCCCCGCCTCAGTGTAGTCTTTGTGTTTGTACCCTGTTTGCCTCCACTCACATACACCCTCACACCACACGCGCGCGCGCACACACACGCTTTCAAATCCAGCTGCGACTCGCTGCAGCCTACTGCCGGTGTTCGAAACCGTGCGGCCCCGGGGTTCACCTAGCCTTTAGGTAATGGGTACAAGTGTTGACACTATGGGGTAAATGAAGGAACATCGCTGTAGTTTACTCAGTTACGTGCAGACGGCGACACAGGCAGACAGTTTCTTATTAGCTGTCCGTAGAAAGGTAGGTAATTTGCAGTGCCGTCTCTAATTAGAGAAGGCGTGGTAATTTGTACCCCACAAGGACATTACACAAAGTGCCACCATGCGGATGAGGATAACCTCTGGAGAAGTCCCGGAAACACCGTTCAGCCGTTAGGCCATATCTAAGAATCGGTGTCACAGACCTATGGGTGACCTTGCTGGTCCGTGGCTCGTAACTGGGCCTATGACAGACAAGCTAACCTTTAACACACACTGAACCCGAACGCACACAGAGCACGCACGACAATCTTTATTGCAAGTACAGGTAATACAATAGACAGTTGACCTCCCGCTGTGTGGCCACCTATTGACCCTCTGGCCGAACGAGCTTTACAATCGCCTCGCTCCCCAGCACGTTCCACAGGCAATCTCCTGGTGCACAAACCACACTGGCACGAGATACGCTCTTACCTATCGACACACTGACCAACCAAACTGTCACAGCCTCTGTCTAGAGCAGGGTCAGAGTGCCAAGGTTAGACATTCTCTCACAGTACATGTACCTAAACGATTCAACTGGTCAGAAATAACTGGACACTATTTATTTATGGTGGCACAACACAATACCTTGCATCAGTTAAATACACAGCACAAAAGACTATCCTATTCTAACAGAACACTGTAAATAATCTATGCAGTCACTAAAGAAATATTCGAACTCTAATATACTATCACGGTCTCGCTAACACGTCTGTTCCATCTGACCGTTGTCCACCGAATGTCCTGTGTTCCTTTCACCTCGTGTCTCTTGACCCGTTCACCTGCTCAGTCCCCAAAGGGGTAATCGTGTTGCGAATTTGTCTGCAACAGAGTTAACTCTTTCTTGTCGTGGCCAAGCGGTTTCTCCTGAGCGCTAGTTTCACCGTGCAATAATAGAACAGACTTGACCATAGGGTTGTGACACCCGGCTATGATTAGGGCCCACGAAAAAAGCCAGGGTGGTCTTCAAAAAAAAAAAAAAAAATTGCATCTAACATGGGGACAAATGTCATCTACAGCTGTCCGTTCTGGTGGCAGAGCACTTACGGTTTATAACCGTGTGCAGTGACGCTGGTTCACATCTCCCGACTTTACCTTAACACTTACACGTACGTGCGCGCGCGCATGCATCCATACACAGACACCACACATGGCACACACCCACACGCACGCACGCACACTCACTTATACGCACAAAAACTTGGATGTGGCGACTAGCGGAAGAAATTATAAGTAAGAGGATTGGGAAGATGATGATGATGATTCGTCCCGAAATGCTTCCTTCAGGGGGAGCTACTCTAGTAATGTTTCTAGTAGATTCTGTAGATTCCTAACAACAATGGCCGCTCTGACGGAATTGTTCAGGTATAATTCTTTCTTCCTTCATTTGTCGTTTCTCGTCGCTCCTACTGATATCAGGGAATTGTAACATCTGCAACTATCAGTTTTAGTTTTCAAAACCAGTTTTGGTTTATACATTTTGTACAAAACAAATAAGAAGTCTCCAGGCGACAGATGAAACAAACAAATCTCGTGACGACGACGTCTGTGACTGTGTCTCTTGTCTGTGCTTGTTTGTAGTATTTAGTATTATGGCGCATCAGGCTTATGATTCTGACTTTTTACAAGATTAAGATAATATTTTTCTAGATCAGTTGTGAGTTGGTCAGCAACACGCCGGCCGCTTTACTCCTTAGCGGATACATTGATACATGGATTGGTTTCTCTGATTATGAATCAACCTGGAGCCGAGCTAGAATAAATAAGTACTATCAGGGCACTCTTCCGAATACGGTATACCTGTCCCAGATTATTCCACTGCGAAAAACATCCCTTTGAGAGCCTCAAGAGGTTATGTAATAAAAACATTTAGGCCATCATCATCAGTTTCCACTTCTGCTGTTATTGCTCCATGGATATCAATGTTTAGACGTTCAGCTAAGCGCTGTGGGGGACGAATAATTTTCGATCCAGTAAAGCATTGTGGGAAAGAATAGTTTTTGATCCATTGTTCACATTACCTGTGACTCGCCTTGTGGGTTCCAGGGCCACGTGTTTGAGGACAAAAATAGACCCACTGCCACCTAAAAAGCATGTTGGGCTACCCTTCGAATAACCGTCCCAAATTATCGAGGCTAAGAAAATACCCTAACAGGGCCTCAGTCAAATGTAAATTACGGACCTCTTTCCGGTGACTATACCGCATACCGCGAAAAAGCTTCCTCTGAGTTAAAGTTACTGTGAAGAGTTTCCCCCGCACCATGCAGAGGGGGTGGGGGGGGGGGAGGGGGGGGGAGAGGTCTAAACTAGATGGCTACGACTCATGAGCAGCAGCTACCGCATCGCCTCCAGCTTCCTCCATTTTATTTGCTCATGAGTCTCAGCCATCTGGTTTAGCCCCTCCCCTCCTCTGTGCCGCGCATACGGGTGCGGGAGATGCTCTCGGCGGTGGTGGTATAGTCGCCTGAAAGAGGTCCACAATCTACATATCCTGTTAGGATATTTTCTTGGCCTTGATCATCTGGGGCCGTTATTCTGAGGAAAGCTGCAAACTGTAAAAGTTGACTAATTAGGTCTTTGTTAAAATCAGATGTCTTATGGCAAAAGGTGCAGATATTGCAGCCTTGCTGTAAACCACTACACCATGTGCCAGCTGCCCTTTTAACTCTTTCAGGCACATGAATTTTGACAGACTTGGCCCACATTAATTTCCCTTTACAAAAATGGCAGAGGTGTGGGTGTACAAGAAAGGCAATAGAGAATGTAATATACTTCTAATCCTAATAAAAGTATATTTTTTTTAAAGATAAATGAATGTACAATTTGAATCTGATGATAAGTGTATGTTTAATTTGTTTATAGTTAGTACGAAAGAAGAATTCAGCATGTTTTAATTTCACAACAACATTTTACAAATTCTTCACTTACTATGATTTTGCAGCCACAAGAGTAGTGAATTTCTAAATTTGAGAACAAAACTTTAAAATTTGTTCAATTTCCTAACAAGTTCCAAAGTTATGATGAGTTTCTGTGTTATTTTAGCTCTCAGGGGCTCTTAGTTTTCTTACTGAGTGCTAAGCAAAATTTCAGAGAAAAAATGGCAGAAAAATGAGTCATTACACACACACACTATTTACTGTTTACTTTGTACAGTTATATACAGACTATAACTGCAATGATTTCAATGTAGCTTAGCCATAGTATAGTACAGTCTCATTGTTTAGAGCACTTTCCTTCTCTTACACCATAAATACGGTAGCAATGGGACATTGTCTGTGTAATTAACTCATCTGAATCGTTCAACTCTGAACAGCTGATGGCTCAGCTTCGCTGGTGAAAATTCACTGTTCGAATCACTTTCCGAAAAATCTAAATTTTCAAAATCATTATCAGAATTAAAAACATCTGACTGAAACAATTTCAGAGCTTCGGCAGCAAAATTACGCATTCTACGACCTGTACTTGTGGTTGGAACATTGGTATTCATGGCACTTGAAAACGATCTTAGAAAATGTTGAAAAAAGTTTTGCTGTGAATTCGATCAAATTATGCACGTGTGGCCTCTGATAGGCAATGTAGCTGAAAGTATTTTGGCAGAGTGACTTTCTCTGAATAGTTTATTCGCACTTCCGAACATTAGAAACAAGTACGGAGCCGTGTGCGAAGCAAAATGTACGGGACACACGATCAACGATGACAGTGTTGTTTAGGCAAAATGGAACTTCTCAATCAACGCTAACACCGTTGCTTGGGCCTTAAAGAGTTAAGAGCACACACACAAATTATTAGACGGCGTGGACACTTACACCCACGTGACAGGCGGGACACTTACAAATGTACTGCTGAAGACTCTAGAGTTTGGTTCCCATGAAATTATATAAAAACGCAAAGCATAGTCCGTTTAAAAAAAATTCCATATTTTAAAATATTGACCTCTTGAGGCCCTAAATGGAATTTTTTAAATAGTAAATAACTTGGGACAGGTATTTGGAAGAGTGCCTAGAATCAGTTTTTAAAAAAACACTTGAAGATAATTACGGATTTCGCCTTTCAGATTCAAACCCAAGATCGGTGGCCAGCAGGTTAGCATCTATTTAGCCACTACCCTGCCCTGGCTTTCACCTGCAGTATATTCTCTGATAGATATATAATGTGAAAGTGGTCTGTGGTAGTATAGGACGGGTTGTATGTTATCCACATCATTACTTTTCCAGTCATGTTATTTTTTTCCCCACCCGTTAATGCTAAAACAGATGCATCATAAACCCGCAGGAATTTCTGTGATTAAAAAAAAAACGTCACAAAAATATGAATATATATATATAAAGGGGTAAACAACAAAAGAGGCAAGCATTAAATGGAATAGATTACCCGGTGCCTTAAAAAAATGTACCGGATGACTCATGCCATGACCTGTATCACTGTGGCTTACAGAAAAATTTGACATCAGCGTGGCTTTTCAGAAAGCGTTTTGGGGTCATAAGGAAACATCTCTATTTTTATTTTTTTTATTGGGAGAGTAAGCAGCATTGAGGGGTGGGGGGGGGGGGGGGTTGTTTAACGTAGAAATAGTTGGTAAATTTTTTTGGGGCCTGATAACAGAACTCATTCTTCCAGAGCATTTAAACCAATCAGCAAGTTCAGTTGAGCTGATTTAAGCAAATTAAAGTGGCTATTGAGATGCTGACCTCATTGCCCACTGTGCGCCAGGTGGTCTAGTTCCTACGACTGATGCATCCCTGAGTAAAAGGGTTGTGTAATTACTTTGTTACTTTTATTTTCAGTGAAGCCAATGAACAGTACGTGAATGAAAACTACCAGAAAGCTATCGAGGTAAGGCTTAAGATTTTGTGGCAGAGTAAACTGTTAGTGTTGTATTGAAGAAACCGGAGACAAGAACATAGAAGGGGTACTGTATTTTATTGTATATACTTGCTGATGTTTATATTTTATTATATTATATTTGAAGTCAAGGACACTTGTCCACGCCCCAGGCATTTTGGAAATAAAACAACTAGACCTATATTTTAAAGATCGATCAGCACTCTGTGGGTAGCATCACGCCGCCTGCCTTCACTTCCCTGGACTTTACCTCGTATCCATTTAAGGCTGGGTCAGCTAGGAAGCCAAGGTCATTTAAAATTTAAAAAAAAAAAGTCTGGCTTAGTCAGGTTCTGCACCCACAACCTTCGGATCCGCGGGTGAGCATGTAGCCGCTACACAATGATGACATGGGGATGGGATCTTATGAATGGAATGATATGGACAAAGGCTACAATGATCTACAGGCTAAACGATCTGAACATAAGCAATTATGGCTAATAAACAGCCTTGGAAGCCAAAATATTATGGTCATATCAAGCACAATATCGTAATGAAAAATTATATAACAGAAGGCATGGGACCAGGAAGGAGGGGCGCACCAACACGAAGATGGGCACAGGATATAAGTGACTTCTTGAATAAGAAAGTACACGAGGCAGGAGAGCTGGTGAGAGACCGAATTTCTTTCTGGCTGACCGTGATGAGAGTGACGTTCTGCAAAGCACTTGCTACATGATGATGACAGGTTAAAACTTAGCATTTGAGAAGACAGTGCAGATACATTTGATGGTAACTGTTGTCCTATAATCCCATTCTTTTTTTGGGAGCTTTTAAAAAAAACCATGAGCAGGTCTTGCCAGTCACATCAATCATGGGCTGGATTCTCAGGCCTACTTATAGCGCAGTGGAACCCTTTTGCCTGGGGGCTGTTTGGTCTTGAGGCATGGCATCCGCCTTGAGTTCTGGAGGTCCTGGGTTCAGGCCCCCGTGAAGGTTGGGATTGAAGGCTGATCTCCGGGTAGTAAGATCGGACGCCAGTATGTATTGTTGCGCAAGTAAAAAAATCCCTTGGCAGTTGCAAATCGAAAAGAGTAGCCAAACGGTGCTGCCCAGGCAAAATTTGGAGTTGAAAATCAACCCAATAAGTATTTCAGGATCCTCGCCGGTGCTACAGTTTGTGCACTGTGCTGAGATTCTTCAGACTCAGGCTTAGAAGTAGAACGGAGCACTTATGGGTTACTACACTTGCGCCATATTGCTGTTCCAATGTCTAAACCTATTGCCTGGAAAGACAGATAGTTGCCAGCAGTATTATATTATGTTGGGGTCAGTCAGACAGTACCATCTCTCTGTTTTCTCCCAGTTATACACTGAGGCACTGGGGATAGATGACAAAAGAGATGACATTTACTGCCACAGAGCTCAAGCCTATCTGCAGCTTGGCAAGTTAGCAGGTAAGTTCCAGTCTCGGTTTGTCTGATATTAGTTTTTTCATTCTTAAGCAGAAGAAACATCTGAATAAAACATGGTTTCACAATACAGGCGACAGAAGATGATTGACAGACATAACGACCAACCCCCAGATGCGGTAGGCTTTGAGACAAAGTCTCAAGCAACACAAGATCTCCTCTCATGAATCCTATCAGTAGTATGGTGTATGTTGGGGAAAGGGGGGGGGGGTAAAATGTTTCATTTGGTTACATAGTGCTAAAAGCATCTGGCTACCCTTATGGCGACTTTAACTCTTTCAGTACCAAACATACAGTATGTTTCTTAGTCATTCTAAAGACTGTGTGATGTTCTTGTCTTCTGTCGCATACTGTTATATCAACCATTTGTGTCTAAATTATTAGTTTAACCGCCCCTGTCTCCTACTTTATCTGTTATCTCCTTCAAGGATATAGATATGTTTTTTGAGCTTATTTCCCTGGGGTGGAACGAGTTAAAGCAGTAATGTCTTGGGGCTGATTACTGATTTAAGAATCTACATCATAGCACACCAAGCATACTCATAGGTGCTCCTTCTCCTGCAGCAGATGTCTTCAGTTGTAGATGCTTACTGCTCCCGTAGCACACTGATTATAAATATGACGTTCTCTTTTCCTCTCCTCCGCCCTTTCTTGCCAGATCCACACTTAATTCCTCGTTCACACATTCTTGCCCATGTTATTTCATCTAATCTCTTGCCTTCTGTCAACAGGATTCATATATGGTCTTCAGAATATCTCCCTTGTCTAGTACCAGTGTTCCTGTAGCTTTTGCTTTTGTAGCCAGAAAATCCGCTCTCTGTTCCCTGTTTTGGGACTGAAAGAGTTAAATATGTATACCCTCATTCATTTTGTGCCATTATATGTCACATAATGCTTGCACTCGAGTCCTCCATTCCATTCTGTTTTGTGCAGTCCTTTAAATTTTCATATAATCTAGTGCAGCGCTTTTGGTATTTCTCATTTAGCATTGTGTTACTTCATGACTGATGTTAAAGAATTATGTTACTACATGACTGACTGATAGTGAAGAATTATGTTACCACATGACTGACTGATGGGAAAGAATTGTGTTGCCACATGACTGATGGTGAAGAAAACTGTTACTACATGACTGACTGATGGGGAAGAATTGTGTTGCCACATGACTGATGGTGAAGAATACTGTTACTACATGACTGATTTATCGGGAAGAATTGTATTGCCACATGACTGATAGTGAAGAATTATGTTACTACATGACTGACTGATCGGGAAGAATTGTATTGCCACATGACTGATAGTGAAGAATTATGTTACTACATGACTGGTGATGAAGAATTCTGTTGCTACATGACTGGTGGTGAAGATTTGTGTTGCTACATGACTAGTGGTGAAGAATTTTGTTGCTACATGACTGATTATGAAGAATTCTGTTGCTACAAGACTGGTGGTAAAGAATTCTGTTGCTACATGACTGGTGATGAAGATTTGTGCTGCTACATGACTAGTGGTGAAGAATTCTGTTGCTACATGACTGGTGGTGAAGAATTGTGTCGCTACATGACTGGTGATGAAGAATTGTGTCGCTACATGACTGGTGGTGAAGATTTGTGTTGCTACATGACTAGTGGTGAAGAATTTTGTTGCTACATGACTGATTATGAAGAATTCTGTTGCTACCTGACTGGTGGTGAAGAATTGTGTCGCTACATGACTGGTGATGAAGAATTGTGTTACTACCTGACTGGTGGTAAAGAATTGTGTTACTACCTGACTGGTGGTAAAGAATTCTGTTGCTACATGACTGGTGGTGAAGAATTGTGTTACTACCTGACTGGTGGTAAAGAATTGTGTTACTACCTGACTGGTGTTGAAGAATGGTGTTCCTATGTGACTGGTGGTGAAGATTTGTGCTGCTGCATGACTGGTGGTGAAGAATTTTGTTGCTACATGACTGGTTATGAAGAATTCTGTTGCTACATGACTGGTGGTGAAGAATTCTTTTGCTACATGACTGTTGATGAAGAATTCTGTTGCTACATGACTGGTGGTGAAGAATTATGTTGCTACATGACTGGTGATGAAGAATTCTGTTGCTACATGACTGGTGATGAAGAATTCTGTTGCTGCATGACTGGTGATGAAAATTCTGTTGCTACATGACTAGTGGTGAAGAATTGTGTCGCTGTATGACTGACATATTTTATTGTCTCTCATGTGTGCAGAGGCAGTGGAGGATTATGACAGGGCACTGCAGCTGAACGACAACATCAGTAAAGCTTACGTCAAAAAAGGGTAAGATTTTTGTGAATTTTTTTGGGGGGGGGGTCAGATATTATCATAAAAATTAAGTTATTGTAAAGTAAAAGGTTAGATCATAAAAGTTAACGGGGTTGTTTAACTGTTGAGGTTGAAATTATTGTAAAGAATAGGGTGGTATTGTCATAAAGTTGCAGAGCAAATCTCTTGTGAAATTAAATATTAAGATTATTGTACATTTCAATGGTAAGGATGGTGTAAACGAAATTGTTATTTTATTTCTGTATTTTTGGTAATATTATCATCAAAGTGGACTGAGATTATCATAACGAATAAAGGACGAGATGATCCTAAAAAAGTAAGAAGTGAGGTTAAATTTAAAAGTAATGAATGATGTAATAAAAATAAAGCATGATATTTCCACACAAAAAAAAAATATTATAATTTTTTTTAAAAAGCTGAATTTTGCAATCATAAGGAGCGGGATTATTATTATATTATTTTTTGTTTTTCATGTAGGGCATTTTTGTAATAGAAGCTCTTCTGGTCATTAAAGTAAAATCTCTTGAGCCAATTTTATGTTGCGTCTGAAAATCTTTAATGTAAAGTGTTCTCGTAAGAGTCTAGCTTGACTGTGAATGTTCCATTTTCTTTTATGTTGCGTCTGAGAATCTTTATCGTAAAGTGTACTCGGTAGAGTCTAGCTTGACTGTGAATGTTCCATTTTCTTTTATGTTGCGTCTGAGAATCTTTAATGTAAAGTGTTCTCGTAAGAGTCTAACATGACAATGCAATGTTTCATTTTCTTTTATGTTGCGTCTGAGAATCTTTAATGTAAAGTGTACTCACAAGAGTCTAACATGACAATGCAATGTTTCATTTTCTTTTATGTTGCGTCTGAGAATCTTTAATGTAAAGTGTACTCACAAGAGTCTAACATGACAATGAAATGTTCCATTTTCTTTTATGATGCGTCTGAGAATCTCTAATGTAAAGTGTTCTCGTAAGAGTCTAACATGACTGTATGAAGTTTAGGTGCCAGGAAGACGGAGCCTTCAGGAGTGCATTCTCTTGATTTACTCACACACAAATTATTTAAAAAATAAAGCATTTAATTAACATATACCAAATTTTATATCTTGAATAAATTTGAATGAACTAACACAATCTTTGGGAATCACACTGACATCCTAACATTTATTCAAATTAGCTATAACATTTGCATATTTATGCATGCATTTATTAAGTTATTACTTAGGACAAACATGACTAAATTAAACAGTTTGGCTAAATTTTCTGATTAATGAAGTCTGAAAAGTCCTGATGTAAAGTGTTCTTCATAAGAGTCCAGCATGATTGTATGAATGTTCCATCTTTTCTTTGCAGCTCAATCTTGTTTGAGCTGAATGAATATGCAAAAGCTCTGGATGTGTTTAAAGAAGGGCAGAAGCGATTTGGTAAGCATAGCATTTAGTGAATTTACTGTGCGATGAACTTTGTACTGAGGTTTTAAAACAGAATTCAGGGTTGCGTAGCTATTGACAAAAATATTAAAATACAATGAATTGTATCCATAAGATTAAAAAGTTAAAAGAATCGACTTCATTGCATCTTTTTAAAAAACAAAACAATATAGGCTTAGTCTCTCGCTGCAGAATGAACAGCTGTGTATAACTTATCGGCTACTGGAGCAGTCAGTTGAGAGGATGAGTTCAATATGACAGGGAAGATCATCTTTGTCTGAACCAGTGTTGCCACTTTTCTTTAACAAAAAACATCCAAACCGGAGTAAAAAAGCATCTAAAAACATCTAAACATGCGTGGAAAACATTTAGAAAAAACATCCAAATGGAAAGAGTCACAAATTACATAGCAATTGATATGACTTACCCTATAGAATCCTGTCCTCATCTTTACTGAAGTCTGCCTTACAAGATCCACATGATAAACATAGCTTGAATGATTAAGTTGAAGCTTCAGATCCAAAATGACTCGGGTATGCTTTAGCTGTTCCAATTTCTTTTAATACCCAATTAGGGAGCTGATAAGTGGAACAGCCTTTTCATACTCTTATCAGGCCGAATTTTATTGTCAAGATAGTATTTAAGAGGTCAAATTTCATCCTGTTTGTTAGGTTATATTTGATAAATTCACTCCAAATGTAAAACTTCTAGAAAAACATCTACCATCTAAATGTCAAAAAATGACATCTAATCCAAGGGGAAAACATCTAAATCTGGATGTAAAAAATCCAAAGTGGCAACACTGGTCTGAACTGATTGAAATTACACAAAGGTTGTGCATCGACATAAGTACCCCACCAATGCCCTACCCCAGTTACTTTGGAAGATCAAATGTGTCTGAATTGCATGAAAGTACACGCGACAGAAGGTTGTGAATAGACATGAATGACTACAGGCACCACGCAGCATGTGTATGTGAGAAGAAGAGGTATTTGGCCTTGGCTGCTGTGTTAGCGGCTACATTGTGCACACAAAATTAAGTTTGTTCGTTGGTTCAGCATCTATAGTTTAAGCCTGTTATCCTGAGAAACCACAAAGCTGACATTTTTGATTGGGTCCATAAATGTGATTTTTCCGACTTGTCTAAGGTAACAAGTTTACGAGACTCATAATTAATGCTTTTGGCTGAGTTCATGTCTGCTCAGCATTTAAGAGGTCCGGATATGAATATAGTTTCTAAAAATAGCATTTGTTGGGTTTCCTTATGAATCAAATGATTTTTAAAGCCAACTTGACATCGCATATTTTCCATAGCCTCAGTGATACAGGTCACAGCACAAAATACCTGATACATATAGACTCCAGAGAATGTGTACCATTTAATGCTTCAGTCTTTTTACATTGATTGATTTCTCACATGTTTCATCTTTATATATATATATATATTAATACATTTTATGCATATAAATATAAAAATTTTTAAAAACATTTTCAAGTGACCTGGCAAAAAGGATTTTATGACAGGGTCGTGATCTTTTCTGTTAAGACGTTTGCTGCTGGGGATGAAACATCTCTGGGTGCGCTGTGATATCGATTCTTTAATCAACTTTGAACTGTCTTTTTGTAAGCAATAATTTATTGGTGGTCTTTGTATTTGTAACTGCCTCAAACATCAAACACAAACATTTAAAAATAATTGATATGTTTTTGAATTCTTGATTCTTTTCAGCTTCTGACAAAATCCTCGAAGACTGGATCCATAGATGTGAAACGGAATTGACCAGTAAGTCAAACACTGTCTTCTTTTTCTTCACTTTCTCTTTTACCGCTTTAGATGTCGAGGGAAATACATGGTTCTGCTTCTTGCTGGTCTGGCTGCCTAGAACATAGACTGGTGTAGTTTCTCTGATGTTATCTTTTCATCCTAACCCCAGACTAAACTACTTTATTGTTGACATTCTAGTCGTGACCTGATCAGGTGGAGAGCCATTTCATATTTAACTCCTCGGATACCAAGGCTCTTATCTCACGTTGATTTATAACTAATTCAACTGTCCTCTGATATGGAAAGAGTTGTATGCGATAGGACATCACCATGAGTGTGGCTGCCACATTCTGCAGAAAAATTGAGGACTTGTATCCATCCAATCATGAACGGGTGTAGAGATGAGAAGTTATGGGGTGATTTGGCGGATGGTCTGTGCTGCATTGAGAGATGAAAGCTAGATGAGAATATAGTCTATAATCGTCTGCACATTAGGCTGTGAAAAGCAGATTGATCCTTAATTTTGTCCTTTCTCTCTCTCCCCTTGCCTCAACACATAGTCATCTCTCCACTTTCCTAAAAATAGGCAGTAGTAATCGTCCGTGTTAGGCTGTTAGAAGTAGATGAATCTTTCCTTTCTTTCTCTCTATCTCTTGCTCACTCTCTGATACCCCCCCCCCCCCCCCCCCCACGGGCACACCCCTCTCAATTTTTTTAAAAACAATATACACATCTTTGCCTTTTGGTTTCCAAAATAGTCAAGAATTGTAAACAACAAGGAGCTTTAGTTTACTAAATGTAGACAACTCTTTGGTCCTTGGTATGTTTAAAGCATATAAGTAACAATATGTTTACATCTGCAGCCTCTTTTTCTGGAGTATAGTGGCTGGTAAACTGGTGGAATGTTCTGGTTGTTCATCCACTTCTGAACTTTGGTCTTATTCCTGACACTGTTTTATGGGCACATTTGTTTTACAGATCTGGCTTATTTGTATGCAAACTTTTGGTTTCTCACCTCTCAGACAGATGAACTCTGACTTCCAGTAGTCACCTTTTTTGACATGCTTGTTTTTTGTGTGTGGGGGGGGGGGGGGGGGGGGTGGGGGGGTGTATTCTTCTTGCCCCCAAAATGGAGCCCCAGAACTCGGACATGGAACATGTATAGCTGTCAGTCAGTGCGTGTTGTATGGAACACTTTTGCATGTATTTAACATTGGTAAACATTTCTCTGCCGTCAGAACAATCAAAGAGAGAGGATTCTACTGAGGAGAAGAACACACAGCAGAGTTCTGTATCAAATGAGCCACCGAAAGTTAAGTAAGTAGAAATGTGAACTTGTGTGACTAATTCTGACATTTTTACGTTTATAAACACTTAGGGTAGCAAGGAATGCATTACATGCCAATTTATAACTAATTTGACTTCTTCTTCTTCTTCACGTTCACCAGCTGTACACTCTGGTGTAAAGTTCTGGTTGTTCGTCCACTTCTGGACTGCAGTCCTGCTCCAGAACCTGAGTGTTGCGTGTGCATCAGTTTGACAGATCTGATTCAATTGAATGCAGACTGCTGGTTCCTTGCCTCTCAGGCAGATGCACTCCGACTTCAAAGGAAGCTCCCCAGTTAGTCGACTCTTACGACATGCTTTTGGGGAGGCAGTGGGTCTATTCTTGTTTTTCCCACAATAGGGCCCCGGAACCCACACGGGGGTACTAATTTGACTGTTTTTGTGTGTGCTTGTGACAGTGTTAAAGGCACCAACTTGGCCATGCTTATCACGATTTTTTAGTTTGTATTGTTAGTTTTTAGTCGAGGTTCCAACACCATAACATATGGGTCATCCCATAACTGCTCTGTTCTTATGCCAGTGGAAATCACATAAAATATTCATCACTGTCCTGCTTGAAAACTAGTGAAAGCCTTGTCAGTCCCAGCAAAATCTTGGAGCTTGCACATGTAACATAGGGAAGAAAGGTTAAGGCAGCTGTCATATGTACCAGCGCTAATGGTCCCACACCAGAATTTGCATATTTTTTAACAAGCATTGGTAAACATTGTGATAACTGGAAAGATCAGTGGTAGGAGAGGCAGAGGCAGACCAAGAGACATGCTTGATGGCTAGAAATAGTATAATGGAGAAATATCTTTAGAGGAATTGTTTAGAATACCAGGGGCCAAGATCTGAGGAGAGAGCTGAGCACCTGCACTGCCTGGCAGGGCCTTGTGATGATGATGATGGTATATCTTTGGGCTCATCATAAGAAGGAGATGTTGGAGAGGAAAATGGAAAGTTGGAGAGATACCAGGGAGAGACCAAGAAAAAAGATATTAGTTTGGCATCATGACAGTAGTAGATGAGACACGAGAAAAAAGAAAGAAAAAAAAAAGCTGTGGGCAGACAAATGATCAGTGCCTAATAGCATGGGTTGTAAGAACAACCAAGTCATGGTATCCAATTGACTAAATGTTATGGGTTCATTTTATGACTTTGGTATTTGGTTCATTGTTTTGTTTTCATGTGGTGTTGTGGCTCAATATTTTGCACCTTTCTGTCCAACACTTCCGATTTTAACAGTATCCTAATCAGTCATTTTTTGACACGCCAGGTAAGGGCTAATGGGTCTTTTCTTGATCCCCTCCCCCTTCCCCCCTCTCTCAAACTGATTGCTGGCTTGTTTCATATACATGTATTAGAAACATTCATTTGAAACCTGTTCATCCCACACTGTATGTTACTGCCTGTGTTTAATATGGTCATAGACGTATAATAAGTACTGACCAGTGAAAGAAAGAGCTTGTGCTTGTCATCCAATGATGCATCGGTTCTGTTTCTGACCGTCGAGGAAATGCTGATCCAAAATCCATCCAAAGCGGCTCAGAGAGAAGTGATTTAGTTTCTTTAATTTGACGGGTGTTGACCAATATAAATTCGTGGAAGCTTTTAGGCAGCATACGGTAACAAATGTGTGTCGACAACAGTGACAGACTGGGCACTGATGTTTCAGAAATGATATGAGTGCACTGCCAAATCAAGCACATATTGTTGCAACAGAAACAGCTTTCACCAAAAATGATGCAGCTAAACAGCTTTATATGTGTGTGTGGATGACATTCGCCACCTGCCTAGGCAATGGGGTGCTTGGCTGAATGCCTACGGCAACTTTTCTGACCATCCCTATCGTGCGTAATTTGATAAAAATTAATACTTTGTTTAATTCTGCAACACCTGTTGATGTTTCTTTCATGCTTTTGTAATAAAGCCATTGGAATGTGCTGAAATTAGGGCTCTTTATATAAAGAATTTATATATAGGCAATTGAAATAAAATTCATGGAGCATAATTCATTCAAAATTAATGCTTTAGTTAATTTTTGATGTTTCTTTCATGCTTTTGTAATAAACTCATCGTTGTGATTTGTTTTAATGAACATTCCTTATATGAAGCATTTGTGTTTAGGAAAGTTGAAATACGAGTAGAGCTTCATGTAGACAGTACCATTAGCAATATATTTATCTGTGAAATAACTGAAAATGCGGGTCTTGTCTCTCCCACAGGTACAACTGGTACCAGACTCATACCCACGTTATTGTTTCCGTTATGCTGAAAAATGTGAAAGATGAGAACCTCACAGTAGATGTGAATTCTAGAGCTGTAAGTAACTTTGGAAAGTCCTGAATTTATACTGGTTGGTGACTGGAAATACAATTGTTAGTACATGAATTATCCTCAAGGTCCTCCGACAGTTAATATTTCCAGTTCTTTGCTGGTTGGCAAACCTTATTTCTGGTGTTCCTCTCAGAAAACCTGGCTATGCAGGTTGTCGCACTGTCTTGATTTTGAAAGTTTTGAACAAGGGATCAACATCAGGGCACAAGGGTGAAACCCATGAGTGCTCCATTCTTCTTCTAACTCAAGTCTGAGCCTGAAGAAGCTCAGCAGTGCTGTTATAGTATGTTCAACACATTAACCTGTGTTGATTGGCATTCATGAAAAGAAGTAAGAGATGGGAGGACACACTTGGCAACATAAACATCTAAAGCTGTTGTTACTGTACAAAAGACTCAAAACTGTTGCTTACAGATGACAATGTTGCCTTGCTGCAGGAACATGTGTACTTTAACTCGTGACCAGCACGACACTGAATTGCTTACTTCTTGTTCTCGATGTTCATCAAGAAGTTAAGTAATACTTCTTTTTCTAGATGTTCAACAAGAAGTAAAGTAATACTTCTTGTTCTAGATGTTCATCAAGAAGTAAGTAATACTTCTTGTTCTAGATGTTCAACAAGAAGTAAGTAATACTTCTTGTTCTAGATGTTCATCAAGAAGTTAAGTAATACTTCTTGTTCTAGATGTTCAACAAGAAGTAAGTAATACTTCTTGTTCTAGATGTTCAACAAGAAGTAAGTAATACTTCTTGTTCTAGATGTTCATCAAGAAGTAAGTAATACTTTTTGTTATAGATGTTCATCAAGAAGTAAGTAATACTTTTTGTTATAGATGTTCTTCATAGGGGATAAAAAGGGACATCTTTTTGTTCACCATAGATGTTCATCAAGAAGTAAGAATCCTTTTGTGTTTCTAGATGATGTTCCTAAAAAATTGACTTTAACCTTTAACATAATAGATGTTCATTTACCTTTTTTCTCTGTCTTTTTGTTAAATAATGGGTTTCTCTCTATGTCTTTCTGTTAAATAATGGGTTTTCTCTCTATGTCTTTCTGTTAAATAATGGGTTTCTCTCTATGTCTTTCTGTTAAATAATGGGTTTCTCTCTATGTCTTTCTGTTAAAAAATGGGTTTCTCTCTATGTCTTTCTGTTAAATAATGGGTTTTTCTCTGTGTCTTTCTGTTAAATAATGGGTTTTTCTCTGTCTTTCTGTTAAATAATGGGTTTTTCTCTGTGTCTTTCTGTTAAATAATGGGTATTTCCGTGACGTGTAAATAAATAATCCTCTTACAGCTAAAGGTTTTGGTCAAGAGGCCCGACGACTCGGCCGTTTCGTTGGACCTGACACTGGCTCATCAGATAGACCCTCAGCAGACAGCCACCAAAATCTACAGCACAAAGGTAAGTTGCATGTTGATTTCCTTGTTGTCGTTGTGGGTAACTGGCAACATCTTTCTTGTAACCACATGCGTCGTGGATGTGGTGCTGTCGTCTGCTCGACTTGCAACAACAACAACATGTTAGTATCCCCTTCAGTGTCGGGGTTGGAGAGGCAGGGGATCGTGACTCTCCAATCTTCTGTTTGTTTCTTCTTCCCTTATACTTTCACCTGGTGGAAAGTCCTAGTTGCGCATCCGCTTCTGATAGACTTTGTTCCTGTTCCAGGTCTCGAGCTAAACATGCACATCCATTTTACATATCTGGCTTATTTATGTGCAGCCTGTTGGTTGCTTCCTTCTCAGGCAGTGCAGACTTTGAGGGAAATGTTAATTTTATCTACGTTGGCCAGGCCCCCCCCCCCCCCCCTTTTCTCGTAGAGAACCTGTTTCTAGGATGGCCATGGAGGGCTGTAGAACAGGTCTTGGCCAGTATGAGCTCTGGCCCTGGTGGACCATATGTGGTTCACCACCTCTGCCTGCCTTATCTTCTCTTGTAACATTTTAATGTGGTTGCCTGTGCTTGTCAGCATGGCTCATGATGGGGATGAATAGACAGGAGAAGCCTGGAATTACTGCTTAGTCTTCTTCATGACTGCTAAGTATTACAAAGAAAAAAATGGATTTAGATAATAGTCACACCAGTGTGAAATTAGATGGTCTAATTTATGTCACAGTATTTCACATGCGTATCACATGTCTGTTGCAGTTTGATATCACAACATCTAGTTTGAGAATGGAGGTGGAGGCAGTCACTGCTGCCTTCTGCTGGATTGAGAATCAGCTGTACACACATGTCGTAGTTAAAACTGTCTCATAGAGTATGCTGAGATAGGTGAAGACAGGCATGCTTCATGCAGAGTGGCAAGCATCGCTTTAGAGGTCCTGGGTAGTTAGCATCTTTTGATATTTTCTCCAGGTCATACTGGTGTGTTGGGAAATGAGCAGGCAGATAGACTGGCTGGTTCTGCACCACTTGGTGGGGAATTGATATATGACAAGCTGGATGTTTGTTAGGGCCCTTTATGAGTGAGTGAACAGTGCGGAAGCACAACAAGATCATTATGGCCTGAGGAGAGTGCAGTTGCGGGGAGTTACCAGCAGATCTGGCCTTTACACTAAAGGGAAAGGCAAGATGGATGTACAATCGGACAGTTAGTGGTACTCTTGGAATTGGAGCTCTTCACTTGCTGCTTGTTGTTATATTCATGGCATTGTGGTGCTGGGGTGTCTGTGGGTTACCTACCTCCCCGGGCAGCAGCTAGAAGTGCCCTGTACCAGTTCTAAAAGAAATATGGGTTGTGTTTCTGCCTTTCCCTTTAACACGTAGCTAAGGTGGGGCTCACAGTGTGCTCATTCCCCGCCACCAGATTGCCTGCAGGTTTCGCTGAGCTCTTCATGGCTCTAAGCATGGCTTAAGCATGAGTAGTTGGGGCAACTGGATCATCACGTCCTGAGTCCCGGTGCCTTCACGATAGTTTCCGGTATTCAGGAGGTTAGCATACTTGTTTCCATTCCTAAGACTGTTCAGCACACCTCTGGCTCCTTCCCTCCCACAGGGGGCAGTACCGTGTGGTGCACCGGGTTTATTATCGAGGTTTGCTCCTCTAGATCCATTGTGTTTTGCCTGGGGATTCGCACCCCCAGTTACCAGGACTACCTCAGGGAGGCTGTGACTCTTCGCCATGCACAATGGTCTTGAGGTAAGAGAGGTTTTGCTAGGTCAAGAGGCTGACACCACAATGGACGCTCCTTTCGTGAACAGATATTAACTAGACCTAGGGTGAAGTAAGGGGGGGGGGGGCCACTACCCACAACACCAACACTTCTTACCCCCTGCCTCTCGAGGCTCAGTCCCCTTCACTTGCTGCTGAAGATGGGGATGGAGCGCTTATGGGAGTCCACGGAATGCTGTGATGTCGATTCTTAATTCAACATTTTTGTTGCAGTCTACATCTTTGTCCTTTTCATGTGCTTTTCCTACACACCCCCTCCCCCTTTCCAAATCTGCCATATGTCCCAAATCTGCTATCTGTCAGAGAGAGCTGCCTTTGGCAGTATTCATTGGATTCTCTTCTGTTGCAGTACGCTCTGTCTGCTTCTGCTTCTTCTTTGCATCACTGGCTATTTATTCCAGCGGAAGCTTCTGGTTGTTTATCACTTCTGTTATCACCTAAATGTTGCGTGCACATGCTTTTTTTTCACAGATATGACTCATTTGTATGCATACTGTTGGTTCCTTGTCTCAGGCGATGCACGCCGACTTCCTTATGACACACTTGTTGGGAAAGGGCCGACTTCCTTATGACACACTTGTTGGGAAAGGGGCGACTTCCTTATGACACACTTGTTGGGAAAGGGCGATAGGTCTGCCCCCTCCCCGAATTTAGCTCTGGAACCCACAGGAGGGTTCATATTAAGTGATTTGATTTCAGGTAGAAATCAAGTTGAAAAAGAAGGAAGGGATACAGTGGTCCACGCTGGAAGGTTCACCAGAGGAAGAAGTCCCTGAAGTGCTGCCTGCATGTGCAGGTAATATGTCATACGCGTGTGATGTGTTGTATGTCAGATAAGGTATTATGTCATATGCGTGAGATGTGTTGTATGTCAGATAAGGTATTGTGTCATACGCGTGTGGTGTGTTGTATGTCAGATAAGGTAATATGTCATACGCGTGTGGTGTGTTGTATGTCAGATAAGGTATTGTGTCATATGCAAATTGGTGTGTTGTATGTCAGATAAGGTATTGTGTCATAGGCGTGTGGTGTGTTGTATGTCAGATAAGGTATTGTGTCATACGCGTGTGGTGTGTTGTATGTCAGATAAGGTATTATGTCATACGCGTGTGGTGTGTTGTATGTCAGATAAGGTATTGTGTCATATGCATGAGATGTGTTGTATGTCAGATAAGGTAATATGTCATACGTGTGTGATGTGTTGTATGTCAGATAAGGTAATATGTCATATGCGTCTGCTGTGTCGTATATCAAATAAGGTGATATATGCGTGTGATGTGCCATTTGTCAAAGTACTATATTATGCTTGTGATGTGATGTTTCAAATAAATATATGGGTGTAATGCATCATATGTCAAATAAGTTAATGTGTCATATGGTTGTGATGTCAAATGTCAGAAAAGGTGTCATATGCGAGTGATCTGTCATATGTTGATGTGTCATATGTGTGTGTGATGTGGCAGATAAGGTAATGTGTCAAGTGTGTGTGATGTGGCAGATAAGGTAATGTGTCAAGTGTCTGTGATATGTCATTTGTCAGATAATGTAATGAGTCATGTTTGTGTGATGTGTCACATGTCAGAAAAGTTAATGTTTTTTTTTATATGTGTGTGATGTGTCACATGTCAATTAAAGTAATGTATTATGCGTGTGTTTGATGTCTCATGTGTCAGATGAGGTAATATGTTATATGTCAGATAAGGTAATATGTCATATGTCTGAAAAGATACTGTGTGTGTGACATATATCCAGCAGTGTCTCCTTGTTTATTGAGGACCCCATTCCCAGCCTGTCATTGCATGTTGGGATCATTTGGTTGTGCATGCATGTCACATAGTGCTTACAATCTGGTCGTCCATTCTGCTCCTTTACAATCAAGAAGTAAAAAATGACCAGTTCGGATTAGCTTAAATCGGATATGTTGGGCTGAAAGTTGCAGATATCGCATCCTAGCTTTAAACCACGACACAAGTGCAACTGCCTTTTTTAAGTTAAAAACAAGATGGACTCGGTGTTCTGTCTCTGGCGATATTGTAAAGCTGTTGTGAGTTTGTTTGGGATGTGTTATGTGCTTTATAAGTGCAAAGTTTGCAGCAGATCCCTGGAGAAAGTCCCTGGAGTTAAGAAGTTTGTGCACTGTTTAACATATGGTCAGCAGCTTTGCAGAGACCAAATTGTATGTGATAGAGCCTCTTGCATTGAAGGGAATTTGCTTTGCCAATAAAGTTTAATTTTTTTTCTTTTTTTTTCTCTTCTTCTTGTTAAACTTTTGCAGTTGCCCTTGAAAGGGCAGTTGGCCTGTTTTGTTGTTTTCAGCTAGGGTGTATTATCCACCCCTTTTGGCCCCAACACATCCAGTTTCAACAAACCTTTAATTGCCTTTAAAAACGTGTATGCAAACCACCAATGTGTCTGCCTTCTCTTACAGAAGGAAGACACTTATTTCAACCTTTAGATTTTTATTGAATTGTCTTTTAAGCGCAGCCTGATCTTTCCACCTCCCAGCTCCGGTGCAGGAACAGCACTAAAGTACCCATCGTCCTCTCACTACACCCGAGACTGGGACAGGCTAGCAGCTGAGGTGACTGAGGAAGAGAAGAATGAAAAACTGGAGGGGGATGCAGCTCTGAACCAGTTCTTCCAAAAGATATATGCTGATGCTTCTGATGAGACGAAGAAGGCTATGATGAAGTCATTTGTAAGTAATCATGCTCCTGCTCCTTAGGTTTCTTCTCTCAGTCTGTGCTGGATTTTTTTTGGGAGGAGGGGGGGGGGGCAGGGAGCAGCCAAAGGCAGTGCAGAATAAGAAATTCAACTCCCCATGTGGGTTGCAGGGCACCATTTTGGGGGGAACAAGAACAGACCCACTGCCTGCCCAAAGGCATGTCGTAGGAGTCGACTAATTGGGAGCTTCCTTTGAAGTCATAGTTCATCTTCCTGATAGGCAAGGATCCAACAGTCTGCATGCAAATTTGTTTGACCTGTAAAATGTGTGCACGCAACACTGAGTTAGATTCTGGCACAGGACTAGAGTCCAGAAGTGGATGAGCAACCAAAACTTTCTGCTGCAGTTTGCAGCCGGTGAACGTGAAGAAGAAGAAATTTAACAAGTGATTCATGGCAATTCCTGCCCAGGTGATGCAGCATCTCAGGTTTCTTCTTACAGTCTGTGCTGGTTTAGGGAGGGAAAGAAGTAGCCTGAGCTGGTGCAGAAAAAGAAATTCAACAATTGATTGATGGCAATTCCGGCCCAGGTGATGTGATTATCTGTACAAATAAAGCTGTGTTGAGAGGCAGAAAAAGTGAATGAGGGTCCATTGCAGAAGTGAAAGGATGGTGCTTAGTACAACAAAGCCTAGGGTATGATGTCACAACAGCTAGTTTGAGAATGGAGGTGGAGGCAGCCACAACAGCATTAGGCTGACTTGTGAATAGCTGCACACATGTACACATGTTGTGTTTGTAACAGACTTGTAAAGCCTGCTTGTGAGAGAAGGCATGCTCTGTTCAGAGTGGCAAGCATTGCTTCAGAAGTACCATGTAGTTAAGTGTCCTTTGATCTTTTCTTCGGGGTATGCAGGTGTCTTAGGAAATGAAGAGGTAGATAGATCAGCTGATGCTGCATCACTGGGAGGCAAATTGATGCCTGACATGCTAGATGTGGTCAAAGCCACATTGGGAGAATGGGAACAGTGCAAAGTGCTAATAGACAGTTTTGGAGGGGAGAGAATCGTGCAGCGCCAGTGGCTAGGGGATTTGGCCGACACTGCGCTGTGGGGAAAGGCAAAATTGACAAAGAAACTGTCTGGTATTATGAGTAATGGAAATTCTTAACTCGTTGCTGAAAATGTCCTGAGTGCTGTTCCTAACTTATTCTATGATAATTCCATTGCACTTCACAACTGCCCACAACTCTCAGTCTCACATTCTGCTAATTATTTCTAACACACACATATACGCACAGGTGCACACATTGGTTAGTTGCATATCCTTTACAGGATGTTGCAGAACCAACCCCAACAGCCCCTGGCTGTTGTATGATTTTTCTAGGCAAATTTATGTCCAGTAGTTTGCCATTGCTTTCTAGATGGTCAGCTTTCTTGATACCACTGTCGAAACCAACGCAAGGCGCATGGCCCGCAGTTGGGATCGAACCCGACACTCATACATAAATATACTTAAAAAAGCATGTCATAAGGGTAGACTAATTATGGGTGCTTCTTCGAAGACGTAGTGCATCTGCCTGAGGAGAGGTGAGATATAAAACCGAACAAAAAGTATATCAGCAGGCTTCACAGTGTAACATCAATAAACAAAATGTGGATGTTGCGGCTATGGAGCCTTCATCAGCACATACATAAACTTAAGAATATTATACAAATACACAGAATCATTTTGCTTATTATCTTGAAGCAACCAGGTCGAGGTCTTGCCAGTACACTGGAGAGGTGAGGAGTTTACAGTCTGCATACAAATAAGCCAGATCTGTCCAATTTGTATGCATAGAAAACTCAAGTTCCAGAACAAGACCAAATTCCAGAAGTGGATGAACAACCAGAACTTTTCACTGAAATTTACAGCCGGTGATTGTGAAGTAGAAGAGTATTTTCATTGTTAAAATTTCATAAAGCTAATAATCACATTTTGGTTTGTGTTTTCAGATGGAATCTGGCGGGACTGTGCTAAGCACAAACTGGGAAGAAGTTGGATCCAAGAGAGTTGAAGTGAAGCCGCCTGATGGTATGGAGTTCAAGAAGTGGGAAATCTAAAAGTGGCCTGTGATAAGATGGTGGCAAATGAAGGAATATCTCCAATTAATTCCATACAACTGATCGTGTCTTTGAGAGAGTGACAGTATAAATTTTGTTTTCCTTATGCTTTTCATTAAATTCATTTATATATAATAATTGTTTTTGTTCCAGTCTGGAATTGTTGTAATTAGCTCCAGTCTAAAGACATTATAGTGTTTGTTGACTCGTCTTTTTACACTGGTGTTTGTTGACTCGTCTTAACACACTATGGTGTATGTTGACTTATCTTAACAAACTGAAGTGTTTGTTGACTCGACTTAACACACTGAGGTATTTGTTGACTCGTCTTAACACACTGTGGTGTTTGTTGACCCGTCTTAACAAACTGTAGTGTTTATTTTTGTTGACTCGTCTTAACACACTATGGTGTTTGTTGACTCGTCTTAACAAACTGAGTGTTTGCTGACTCCAGTCTGAAGACAGTATGGTGTTTGTGGACTCCAGTCTAAGACATTGTTGTGTTTGGCTTGTGTCTGAGCATTTTACTTTTGACTCAGGGAATGAAGACTTCTGGATTTTGATGTGTATGGCGCTCAACATCTAATTAGGTGCGACGATTATATCTGTTGATGCTAATTGCTGTCTCAGTGGATGTGACAGATATATCCGTCCTCAAATTTCTATGGGTGTTAGCTAGTGGATGCGACAAGTTTACACACTTGTGGCTTACATTGTTGTGCTCGTTCAGGTGTGGAACTTTACTCATAACTATTTTCGTCTTTGTCTACCTGTTCTAAGATGACCCAAAGTGTCTGTCTGAAGTTCACAGTTTTACAGAGACGACAGTAGATGAAGTAAAGTAAGTAAAAGTGAAGGACCCTTTTCAACACCTTTAGGCATATAGGGCTAGACTCATATTTTAGAGACCAATTGTCACAAGATGGGTGATGTGTTCAGCATCACGCCGGCCGCCTTTACTTCCTGGGACTGCCCCCCCCGGTACCGACTCAAGGCTGGGTCGACCTGGGAACCAAGGTCATTTTTGAATAGATGAAGTAAAGACTGACCAGAATGTTGATTCTTCAGGGATTTTGTCTGTTAGCGGGAAAACGAGTACTTTTCAGAGATAGAATCAGTTGATACTCCCGTTTCAACAACAAAAAGTTACTAATTTTGAGTTGCAACAAAGTAATGAATTTCAGAATATTGAATTAAGAATCAACATCAAAGCACTCTGGAAACTCCCATAAGCACTCCGTCCCATCTTTAGCAACAAACGAAGTTCTAGTTCCGATGGCACCAGTAACTGTCTGATTGTATATCCGTCCATCCTTCCCCTGAGTATTGGGCGTCTGCCAGATACCCTGGCAACTCCTCGCAGCGCCATTCTCCTCAGACCGTAATGATCTATTTGCGCTTTCGCACTGTTCACTCGCTCCCAGAGGGCCCTCACAACATCCAGCTTACCATAGATCAGTTCACCACCAAGTGGCGCAGAACCAGCCAGTCTATCTTCCTGCTCATTTCCCAACACTTTCTGAAAATTCCCAAATGAAAAAAAAGAAAGTTGTTCAGTTTTTGGATAGGATCTTCGGGCACAGTCTGGAAGAAAAAATAAAGACTCCAGAGCACTTGGGCACATTTGGATGACCCTCTTGAGTGTTTACTCATAATCTTTACAAAAGTTGTATTTCATTTATGTATATGGACATCAAAGATGCAAACAGCGGTGAATGGAGAGTGAGAAGCAACAACAAAATTCATAATCTGTTTAAATCACCACTGATCACTGGCATCATGAGAGCTAATAGACTGAAATGGTTGGGGCATATTGAAAGAATGAAAGAAGTAAAAACTGTATACACGAGGGAGATGAATGGTCGTAGACCACGAGGGATACCAAGAAGATGACGGAGAGAGAATGTCCAGACAGACCTGCAAACACTTGGTGTTACCAACTGGAAAGAGAAGGCCAACCAGAGAGATGAATGGAGGCAGGTGATATCTGCAGCAATGAACCTCAAGGGCTCGGAACGCTGAAAAGGAAGAAGATGTGAACATTTCAGGATGAAAAGAAATCAGAAATTGTCATAATGATTTGTTTAGATACATAGATTTCTGAATTTTTTAAAGATATTATGTGTTTATGTTGATGAGTATGCATATGTTCGTGTTGGTGAGTATGCATGTATTCTATATCTACCTTACATGTGAAACGTTAATAAGTAAATGTGTTTGACTTGAAATTTTAATAAATTGAGTCAATAAATAACTTGTTTGATTATTTTTTAGGTTTTGTTGTTGCACATATAATTTATTATTCACATACCCAGTCAATGTCTCCCGTGTGGGTTCTGTGACCCTCATTTTTTTTTTTAAAAAGGGGAAAGAAGGGGGGGGGGGGGGGGGGGATAGATCCACTGCCTGCTGCTAAGTACATCGTAAAAGGTGACTAGTTAAGGTTTCTCGAAATTAGATTCACAGAAAGGCATAGAGTTCACAGCCTAGCTGCAAACCACAACAGTGCATCAGTCTTTCAGAGCAAATGCAGAAGCTCAAGTTACTGTCAAAGTAATTGAAAGATACTAAGAAGCACAGACACTACATGCACGCCTACAAATCGGAAGGGTTGTGGGTATGCTCCCTGGCGGAGCCAGACTTTTAAAAAATGACTTTGGCTACCAGGTCGACCCAGCCTCAAGTGGGTACCTCACCTGTCTTGTGCTGATTGGTTTATAAAATGTAGGTCTAGCCCTATACGCCTGAAGGAGTGGAAAAGGGTCCTTTACTTAAGAAGCGCAGGTAAAGATAAGAGGATATAACCAACTTCGAATGGGATGGTCAGTAAAAGCAGCTTGGATTGGCTGCTGCATTGCAGGACTGAATATGCATGGAAATGTCTAATGTGTAGAGATTTGCCACACACACAAAAAGTTTGGCTTACATTACAACAGCTAGTTTAAGAATGGAGGTTGAAGCAGTCACTGCAGACTTCCGCTTGCTTGAAAACCAGTTGTAAACACATGTTGTCATTGTAACTGATCACAGAGCATGCTGAAGAAAGGTAAAGACCTATATGCTTCGTGCAGAGTGGCAAGCATCGCTTCAGAGGTCCCGGGTAGTTAGTGTCTTTGGATGTTTTATCTAGGTCATACCAGTGTTTTGGAAAATGAACAGGCAATGATTGAATGGCTCTGCGCCACTTGGTGATGAATTGATGCATGACCAGCAAGGTCCTGTGGGAGAGAATAAACAGTGAGAAGGCACTAATAAATCACTAAAGTCTGAGGAGAATGGCACTGCCAGGAGTAACCATGGATCTAGCTGACACTCAACACTTGAGGGAAGGACAAGATGGATGTACAATCAGACTGTTCTGGTAATCTGGTAATTTTAATTTCAGCTTCATAGCAAACGGGTACACCCCATCTTTGCTCCGCTCCAGTGCCAACGAAAAACGCACAGAATGTTTATCACAGCCCCTTGTGGAAAGACTGACAAACTGCTCTCTCAGCAAATCTAGCATACACTCGCATTAAAAGCATGGTAGCCATCCGAAGTGCTAACACAATCAGTCCGACGTTAGAAATGCAGTTCATTATTTATGGTAGCAGAAGTCATTAAAAGATCAGCAGTTGCACACGCGATCAATTTTAATCAAATAATGGCCCCACCAATATTGCGACAACCGACATTGCGCCATTTTCTGAATCTACAAATCACACCACCACGTTGGTCGGTCGAAAAACATTCCAAATGAAATCCGCAGCTCACAGTGTCACGCCATGCACTCAACTCAGAGGCTGGGCAACGAAACTATATACTTTCAGTCTACAAATGGAGCAAAAAAGCAACGGCCACAGTCTGGCAGAAGCAAAAGTTTTTGCCTCGGCTCAAAACAGTGGCAGTGCCTAGTGTTCATTTGGACCTGAAGCATTATGTGAGGGCCTAATAAACTGTCACCCCAGCAGTACCCTGCTATTAGCTGGGGAAGGGATTTAGGACATTACATCCACCAGCAAGCCTCGCCCCAACAACGACCTGACTGTCTTCGTTAACGACTGTTCACCCAACAGCCATGCAGTTCTTTGGCACGAAGGAGACACCTTGAACTTGGGTTTCGGACTGCCGACTCCCTACACGAAGATATATGTGCGCCACTGGTGTCCCGTAGACAAATTACTATCCCACTGTAGTACTAAAATTCAGCATGCATTCTCTAACGCTCAGTAGTTAAAGAAAACACACACACACACATACACACACTCATTACCTGCCACCCGCTTGCTTGCTGGTGCAGCACACATGACTACATATTTATATAAGTATATATATATCTCGGGAGAGGGAGAGAGTGAGACAAGGGAAGAATCATGCCGAATGACCACACATATGTAAGACACTGACAGGGAATTCCCTATGCACACAAGGTCGGCATGACTGGCTCCAAGAAGGGGACAGTAAATTCAAATGGCTCAGTCAGATCAGACACAGTCTCTGCTGTGACAGAAAGTTGGCTGAAATAAAGGACTGCCGTAGAAAGGTGCACTTGAGGGACGGTTTCAGAAAGAGATGCGTACTTTGTGGTAGGGTAACATTGCTTGAACAATGTATTCTGCAAGCCACCAGGGGTTGCATTCACATTTTCTAGATTCTAACAATAGTAATACACTAGCGATGACTAATAATAATCACTAACAGCTAAGCCAATACATACATAAATCGTCCTAGACAGAAAGAGAGAGATGGAGAGAGAGAAAGAGAGAGAGAGAGAGAGAGAGAGAGAGAGAGAGAGAGAGAGAGAGAGAGAGATCACCGCGTAACTAATTATAGCAAAAGTATAGCGTTTATTGAGTCTTCTGTTTCGATATCCAAACGTGCTTGTAGTCAGCCATACAGTTTTTGCGTGCATCGATCAAGGCCTGAGAACAGCAAATCAAGTGCTGTGTCTCATTTCCAGATGGCCACGTGGTCACAGATGGAACCGTTGTAGCAGGGTAGAGCCGTGTGAACTTGAATCATGCAGGTAAATTAGGTGCTTAGAGACTGTTACTGCTGCCATCGGCGTTGGAACTCGCTGCTTGCTGCTGAAGATGGGGATGAAGCACTTATGTGAATGTCTATTGTGCTGTGATGATGCCATGGAGACCCGTTTGGGGTTTGCAGGGGGGGGGGGGAGGAGCAGGGGGCTGCATGGTCTCGAGGTACGGTGTCCGCCTCGAGTACTGGAAGACCCGGGTTCAGGCCCCGGTAAAGGCTGGGATTTTTTCACGTGGACTTCTAATAATTTCCCCTGGGTTCTGGGTAGTATGATCGGACGCCCGTGTGTACTGTTGCGCAAGTTAAAAAAAATACCTTGGCAGTTCGAAATCGAAAAGAGTAGCCTAACGGCGCTGACGGGGCAAAATTTTGAGTTTAAAATCTACCCAAATTAGTTCGTGCACTGCTCTTCAGACTCAGGCTTGAGTCAGAAGTAGAATGGATCACTTATGGGTTAACCCTTGTGCCATGATGTTGTTCCGTTGTGTAAACCTAAACATGAAGCAATACATGCCAGTAACGGGTGGGGGTAGGGATTTTAAAAAGAAATTGTTCCCTTTCATTTTTCCTTGCATCTGACTTTTAAAAAGACCCAACGATAGATTCAAATAAACGACAGGTTTTTAGCAACTTTTTTTCCTCAATCGCCGAGAACAACAAATCCGTATCTCGTGATGGGAGACAGATAGGTCTCTGGGCGCCGATGAATTTCTGCACTTGTCGAGCTCTTCTTTCGAAATTTACCCCTGCGACACAGTTGAGCTTGTACGTGTAGTGAATAATATATGTTTTATTGCATTTGCAATAATACGACCTAGCACTGAACTGTTAAATAACATCCGACAGACACGCCCACATAATAATATTAATAATAATGAATAGTGGTTCTCGGCTAGCCGGAATCTCAAACATCGGTCTTACTTTAACTTTGTAACAACATTTAAATTTTTTATTTCATTTAATTTATTTCACAAAATAAAATAACCATATCATATTTAATTTTCCGATAAGATCTCACGTCTCAATTCCCTAAATTTGACCAATAAAATATTACCTTGAAAATCACAATAAATTATGAAAATTAAAAAAAAAATACTGGGATAAATTCAAAAGGATAAATAAGAAATAAGATTAAGAGAAATTAAAAATGTCTGGTCGGCCACTCGTATTAACAGCTGAGACAGTGAAGATGGCGCCACATTGGACACATCCTAAGAAGTAACCAGCAAAGAATCACTAAACAGGTATTACAATGGGAAATAAAAGGAATAAGGAGGCGAGGACGCTGAAAGGAACCCTAAGATGAATGTTGACGAGAGAGGCCAAGGCTGCTGGACTGGATTCTATCCATGATATTGACATGATCGCACAGGATAGAGCAAAAAAGAGAAATAGACTGTGAGCCCTATGTGACATAAAATGGCACAAGAGGACAATGAATGAATAATATGTAATCACAATATGTGAATATTACATTCTATACTGTACATTGTATCAATAAATACTATTAATTATTAGGCTATCCTCTGAATAACGGACCCAAATTATCGAGGCCAAAAATATACCCTAACAGGGCCTCATTCACATGTAAATTGCGGACCTCTAAAACTACACAGCATACCGCGGAAAAGCTTTCGCGAAGTTAAAGTCACTGCAGAGAGTTTCCCCCGTGCCGCTACAGCAGCTACCACATCTCCTGCAGCTTCCTTCATTTTATTTGCCCGTGAGTCCCAGCCATCTAGTTTAGCCCCATTCTGCGCCACACGTAGCGGCGCGGGAGATACTCTCGGCAGTGGCGGTATAGTCGCTGGAAAGAGGTCCGCAATTTACATGTGACTGAGGCCCTGTTAGGGTATATTTTAGGCCTCGATAATTTGGGACCATTATTCGGAGGATAGCCAATTATTGAATATTATATGTTGATTGAATCATTCATACTTCCACCAGTGCTGATTTTCTTCTGAAACATTTCAAGAACAGAAACTGTTCTGAGTTCTGCAAAGGGACCTGAATGATGTCAATAATACAAGTGAAAGGGGGTAGTGGGAAAGTTGGGGTGGATCGGACGTTGTTTGTTGGAGCGAGAATTCCACACGAGATACAAGCCATGGTTAAACCACTGACTAAGCTTGATAAAAGTGTCTTTACTAAAATATTGAGAGGTATGTATCATTTTGTTACCCTTCCTCCAATTCTTCCTTCTGCTTCTACTATAACTGCTATTACTGCTACTACTGTTACAGCCGCTACCATTACTACTATTACAGCCGCTACCATTACTACTATTACAGCCGCTACCATTACTACTACTATCACAGCTGCTACCATTACTACTACTACTACTTCTGCTGTTACAGCCGCTATCATTACTACTACTGCTACTTCTACTATTACAGCCGCTACCATTACTACTACTATCACAGCTGCTACCATTACTACTACTGCTACTTCTGCTGTTACAGCCGCTACCATTACTACTACTGCTACTTCTACTATTACAGCCGCTACCATTACTACTACTATCACAGCTGCTACCATTACTACTACTACAGCTATTATTACAGCCGCTACTACTACTATTACAGCCGCTGCCATTATTACTATAATTCCACCCGCTACCATTACTACTGCTACTACTACTATAATTAAAACTGCTACCATTACTGCTACAGCTGCTGCTGCTACTACTACTGCTGCTGCTGCTGCTGCTAGTACTACTACTATTACTACTACTGCTGCTGCTGCTGCTGCTAGTACTACTACTATTACTACTACTGCTGCTGCTGCTGCTGCTAGTACTACTACTATTACTACTACTGCTGCTGCTGCTGCTGCTAGTACTACTACTATTACTACTACTGCTGCTGCTGCTACTACTGCTACAACAACTAATACTACTCCCACCACTACACTATCACTATTTCTGCCTCATTTACTACTGTTACTACTACAATTATTTAATCTACTAATTTTTTTGTTTCATCACTACTATTAACTTTGGCTCCTTAATTGAATCAGTGAGTACTGCTGTTTCTATCTGTTTTAGATACTACAGCCAATGCCTGCTCAGTTTCTGTCCCCTGTTTCTATCTGTCTTAGATACTACAGCCAATGCCTGCTCAGTTTCTGTCCCCTGTTTCTATCTGTCTTAGATACTGCAGCCAATGCCTGCTCAGTTTCTGTCCCCTGTTTCTATCTGTCTTAGATACTACAGCCAATGCCTGCTCAGTTTCTGTCCCCTGTTTCTATCTGTCTTAGATACTGCAGCCAATGCCTGCTCAGTTTCTGTCCCCTGTTTCTATCTGTCTTAGATACTACAGCCAATGCCTGCTCAGTTTCTGTCCCCTGTTTCTATCTGTCTTAGATACTGCAGCCAATGCCTGCTCAGTTTCTGTCCCCTGTTTCTATCTGTCTTAGATACTACAGCCAATGCCTGCTCAGTTTCTGTCCCCTGTTTCTATCTGTCTTATATAATACAGCCAACGTCTACTCTATTTCTGTCTACCAGAACTACAGCCCATTATACTGCCATTATATATTTCGAATAATGAGGGGGATTTGGCCGATACTCGACTCTCAGAGAAAAAGCAAGACGGATATATAATCAGACTGTACTGGTATCATTGGTATTGAAACTCTGTGCTGGCTTCTGAAGATAGGGACGGAGTTCTTATGGGAATGCCCTGAGTGCTATGATGTCATTTCTTGAGTCATCTCAACTATATGCTGCCATTACTGCCTGTTTTGCCACGTTTACGATGTGTGTGCAAGGGGGGGGGGGTGGGGGGGGGGGGGGGGGGGGGGGGGGGTTTGAGTCTGATGATCTAACACCTCAAGGCTTGTGCGGTCACCGCAGGCCGTGCAGATTTGGATTCTGTTTTTTGTCCCGACAGAAAAAAAAGTCCACAGCCTGTCCAAGGATTCGAACCAAGGTGTCCTACTATCCTTATTTCTTCCTTTCAGTATTACTCCACAAATCATACCTACTCTTTAAAACATTAAATTTTGAGTACTTCTTACTGTTTTTCTTTAAGTTATCATCATCATCACCAATTTTTACCTCTGCCATTAAGTGTCTTGGAGAGAAACAGATTGATGTCCCTTGCTTGATGTCCCTTGCTTGATGTGCATTGCTTAATGTCCCTTGTTTGGTGTGCCTTGCTTGATGTCCCTTGCTTGATGTCCCTTGCTTGATGTACATTGCTTGATGTGCATTGCTTGATGTGCATTGATTGATGTCCCTTGCTTGATGTGCATTGCTTGATGTCCCTTGCTTGATGTGCATTGCTTGATGTCCCTTGCTTGATGTGCATTGCTTGATGTGCATTGATTGATGTCCCTTGCTTGATGTGCATTGCTTGATGTCCCTTGCTTGATGTGCCTTGCTTGATGTCCCTTGCTTGATGTGCCTTGCTTGATGTCCCTTGCTTGATGTCCCTTGCTTGATGTCCCTTGCTTGATGTCCCTTGCTTGATGTGCCTTGCTTGATGTGCATTGCTTGATGTGCATTGCTTGATGTGCCTTGCTTGATGTCCCTTGCTTGATGTCCCTTGCTCGATGTGCAGCAATGCCTATTGTCATTTCATGTAGATGTGGCTGTTCTTTAATGTCACAAATCCATCTTCTCCTGGGGCAACCTCTTGCTTTCACATCAGACCTTTTCGTGTGTAGCGCCTGCGTTGGTAGTTGTTGTAACATCATTTTTACTAGATGACCAAACCATTTGATCTTCTGTTTCTCATTGAATTTTCTGCATGGTGTTGTTTCTACAGCCTGTCTGATAATCTTATTTCTATTTCTAATTTTGTCTTGGATGTCTTTTCTGAGGCATCTCATTTTAAGTAGGTTAGCCTTTGAAAATGTCAGAGTCTGGCACTGGAAGCATATCTCTCTCTCTCTCTCTCTCTCTCTCTCTCTCTCTCTCTCTCTCTCTCTCTCTCTCTCTCTCTCTCTCTCTCTCTCTCTCTCTCTCTCTCTCTCTCTCTCTCACACTCACAGCACGGCAATTCATTTCTACCTCATATTTATAGTTTTTAGTATTACTGCCATAGCATACTTTTTAGTGAGCATACTTTGGATCTTTTTGCCAGGCAATGCCGGCGTGGTGGGTAATGAACAGGCAGACAGATTGGCCGGATCTGCACCATTGGGTGGTGACAAGGCAGATCTGGTCAAGGCCCTTTGGGAACAAACAATGGAATCAGTAGAGAAAGAAGATTTTTATGGCCTGGAGAGAACGAGGCACCTGGGTGTAACCAGACGGTCTAACCAGCTGACTACACTCAGAGAAAAGGCAAGATGGACATTTAACCAGATTGTGACCAGTACCATCAGTATTGGAACTCTGCACTGGCTGCTGAAGATGAGGACGGAGCATGCATGGGAATGCCCCGAGTGCTGTGATGTCAATTCTTGACTCAACTCAACTCAACTGACAAAGCTCTGTGCCTTATTTCTATCTCCCTGCACTTCAGCTTTTTTTTCTACACGACTTATTCATACTTACTGTTTACAGCCTCTCCCCTTTTACTACCCCTCCAGTTCTCAACGTTTTCTGGTAGTGCTACCAGAATAGCTTTATGCAAGAAATTGGGGCCTCACCACTTTTCCCAGAGACAGCGTTTGCCAACACTGTAGCCAATCTCTGTTATGAAGATGGCACACAATTTATTTATTGTTAAAAGTTTTATTTAATTTTTTTTTTTAAAATCCTTCAGTACTTATTCCTACCACTCAGAGATGAAATTTAAATTGTCTGACTATTGCTAATAATATGAAATGACATTGACTGCCAAGTCGACCCAGCCTTGAGTGGGTACCATGTACAGGCACTGGGAAGTAAAAGTGGCCGACGTGATGCCTACCTCATCACCCGCCAATTGCCGATTGATCCGTAAAATATAGGTCTGTGTTGTTGTGTTGTTCATCCATCACGAGTGATGAAGACCACTTTCATCCAAAGTAGTAAGATAGCTGGATGAAAGTGACTTGCGCAAGGACTTGAATTTAAGTGAGGAAGAGCTGCGCAATTTGTCCACCTCACTCTCTCGCCTGTGTCTATCTTGAATCCAATGGCAGGACAAGTCAAGACGACTGGAAATGGACCTAGGTGCAGTGGATGACCAAGGTGTCTCAAGTCTAGCCTTATATAGCCAAAACATCTGAAGACGTGGACAAGAGTCCTTTATTTGTTTACTTATTTACCAGCAAATAAATTACAATGAGTGTTCACAATAACCCTTCCCAGTGATTGTGGCCTCAGTGGTGGGACCCCAGCCGGACAGCAGCAGCCTCAGGTCTCTGGTCAGTGACAAGCTGACCGATGACACTGTTGCTGTTATCTTCTGTGGTCTGGAGAAACTGCTGAGACAGGCCTGGAAAGTGTCCACTTCTTCACTGAAAAAGGAGGTGAGTTGCTTTCTCTCTTTTTCTCTGTACTTGTCTTTCTCAGTGCTTGTTACTGTTCAGTACTTAATTCACTGCATGTCTCTCTCACTACTTGTATGAGTACTTGTCTATCACAGGACAGTACCTGTCTCTCTCGGGACATGTCTCTCTCAGTACTTGTCTCAGCACTTGTCTATCACAGGACATGTCTCTGTTACCACTGGTTTCAGTACTTGTCGTTCTCAGGACATGTCTCTCTCAGTACTTGTTACAGCACTTGTCTCTCTTAGTAAATGTCTCTCTCAGTACTGGTTACAGCACTTGTCTCTCTGATTGCCTATCTTAAATATACTCATTAAAACATCTGCCTGTATTTTACAAAAAATGATGTTTATATTATGTTATTCAGCCGTATGCAGTAGAAACTGTAATTATGTAAGGTTCTAAACATTAGCATTTGCATGTTACCGGTATCCCTAAGGGAAGTATAGTATAATACAAATGTACTCCGCCATGTGTGCCATAAGATGTACATGCTTACATCAGGCTTGGCGTGGGTTGATTTAGGGCCTATGTTGTATTGAGAGATGAAAAGCAGATGAAGAAGAAACAAGCTGATGTTGTCATCCCTACAGATGGCTCAGTGATTCTTGAGGTGACATCTGGTGGGCATACGGCGTGACGGTGAATGGGAAGACAGTAAAGGATGATAGTCATGGATTCAGTTCAACTACTTTTAGCATGACAGTGAAGATGGAAGCTGTCACAGGTGCACTTGCATGGCTGGTGGAAAAGAAAGCAACTCACACATTGATAGTCACAGACTCAGAGAGCAGGCTTAAGGAGATCCAAACTGGTGAATTCTGACTAGAATAAGCTGGCAGCATCCAAAGGTCCTGCCTCAAGAAACTATCTTGGCTGTACACACTGGAAGATGCTGGGGTGAAAGAAAATGAAAGAGCTGACGTGCTGGTCGATATGCTGGTCATGTCTGCAGTGATTAGTGGAGGCAGAAGTATGGACAGGTCTGGCATACTGAATGTGCTTTGTTGCAGAGATGTTCAGACAATTACTGGGAATGGGTATTAAATGAGAACAAGCATGCAGCAACTGGTTGCGGGACAGAGAAAGAAGATATGCCAGTTTGTTTGTTTGTTTGTTTTAGTATCCAGAAGCCATGAGTTGTTAACCCTTAGGCTCGGTATTATGGATATCGCAACCTTTTGGCCTTGATTCCATTGTAAATACCGTAAATCTGGGAGAAAATGTGGCTTTTCTGCCCAACCCCGAGGAGTGAACCCGGACCACACAGAGTTCGTTACCCGCTCACCGCTCAATCCGGTTTAGCCAACTACGCTAGAGAGCCAGGCATATATGCCAGTTTGTTTGTTTGTTTGTTTTAGTATCCAGAAGCCATGAGTTGTTAACCCTTAAGCTCGGTATTATGGATATCGCAACCTTTCGGCGTTGATTCCATTGTAAATACCGTAAATCTGGGAGAAGATGTGGCTTTTCTGCCTACCCCCGGGAGTGAATCCGGACCACACGGAGTTCGTCACCCGCTCACCGCGCAATTCGGTTTAGCCAACTACGCTAGAGAGCCGGGCAGATATGCCAGTCAACTCCTACTGGGTACGTTGAGCATGGAAGTCAAGATAGCAGCTGTATCAAAGGGCGGAGCACGAACTGGTCAAACTGTGCCAGGATGTCGATACAGACAGAAATTGACAGATGAAGAAGAAGAAGATTAAGCACTGGAAATATGTGTGTGTGAGTGTGTATGTGCTTGCATGCACACATGTTAGTCTAATTGCTTCATATGTGAAAGATACATTTTTATTTGTTTATGTTTCAGCATTTTTTACAAGATTTACAAGAGCTCCAGTAAGTGCATTTTGTTTTTATTTGTTATTTTAAAAAAAAATGTTATTTTTAAATTTTGGCGGTAGTTTTCTCTCCTCTACTGGCTTATATGTTATATCTATACATCATATTAACCCTGTCGCCCCGAGAAGCAACAGAACTGACACTTCCGGATTGACCACCTCCCCATAAACGTCACTTTACCGACTTCTCTATAGTGTCCCGTTTACCCATCAACAGTCAGTGCTACTGACTGTGTCCACACCTGTGTAAATGTTTAGGAGGTAACAATGTGAATATATCAACTTTAAAAAAAAAAGCCCTTATGGGGCAGGGTCCTTGAGACAAGATGATTTTTGTTACAGCCAAGCTAACATCAGATTTTCCAGTAAGCCTCAGTGATAGATTTTATGACATGAGCCACCCCTTACATATATGTTGTAGGCTGTGGGGAATCTGTTCCACTGAATGCTTCAGTCTGTTCATTTCTATTGATTACTCCCTCTGTGGGTTTCGGGGCCTGATTTTCGGAAGGAGTGGGGATATACCAGCTAGGGCTGTACCAAATATTTGCTTTCGGGGCCCAGTAGTGGACCTATCGACTATTCGGTATTCGGCTGAATAGTTTCGGTCGCGCCAAATATGAATAGTAGTTACATTACACCCGCTTTTGCATACACGGCCTTAAAACTGACAACATGGAACGATTGGTTTTGTAGAAAGCTAATGCAGCTTTCATACATTAACTAAGCTGTCAGTGACAATTTCCAAGTTTAGTTACTTGTTATAATACTTAGGATTCTTTCATTCCTAGTTATTAGTTACCACAGACTGACTGAAGGATGCAAAACATAAAATGTTTTTAAACGTTTACTATTCTGTACGAATACTAACTAGACATGGAAAGAATATAAACTTCGGCCATATCAAAGTCGATAAATCAAGCGAACAAAAACACATAAGTACTTCGGTGCAAACTTCAACTGCTCCAACATGCTGAGAGAAGAAATATAATCTAGAATACAATCTAGAAACAAGGTATACTATGCCCTTCATCAGCTGATAAAGTCAAAGTGTCTGTCTCGCAACACCAAGATCAAAATATATAAAACGTTAATGAGACCAGTCGTTTTATTTGGCTCTGAAACTTGAAGCAGAAATAAAAGAGTTGAGGCCTTATTACAGTTTTTGAAAACAGTCTTGCGACAAATCTTTGGACCTATCAAAGATGCTAACAGCGGGGAATGGAGAGTGAGAAGCAATAACGTAACACATAATCTGTTTGAATTACCATTGATCACTGGCATCATGAGAGCTAACAAACTAAAATGGTTGGGGCGTAGTAAAAGAATGTCAGATGACAGAGAAGTAAAACTGTATACACCTGAGAGAGGAATGGGCGTAGACCACGAGGCATACAAAAAAGAAGTTCGAGAGATAATGTCCAGCCAGACCTGCAAACAACTGGTATCACAAATTGCGAAGAAAAGGCCAGCCAGAGAGATGAATGGAGACGAGTGATATCTGCAGCAATAAACCTGAAGGGCTCAGAATGCTAAAGAAAAAGATGACTATTCTGTGTTACTTTATGTGATGTAAAAGTTCAGCGTACATTTGATATGATGAATGGTTTTTTTTTTTTTTTTGATATATATTTTATAAACTATACACTATTTGTATTCGTATTCGGCCGAATAGTTGTTCCTGTTATTCGTATTCGGTACAGCCCTAATACCAACTGACCTCTAACGAGCATGTCATAAGAGGGAATTATTTAGGGGTGTTTTCTTCTAAGTCGGAGGGCATCTGCCTGAGAGACCAGGAACAGTCTGTAAACAGCTAAGCACGATCTGTAAAACAGATGTGCATGCAAAACTCCAGTTCTGGAACAAGGCCTAAGTGCAGAAATTACCACTGGAGTTTACAGCCGGTGAACATGAAGAAGACAACGAGTTCAAGGGTAGATAACAAGAATCCAAAAGTAGTTTGTGGTTGGGTTTCTGTAAATAAAGTGAATAAAGGACCCTCTTTATGTCAGTGGCTGTCTATAGAAATATAAGTTTAGCATCATATACTCCATCAGCCACTGACGTAAAGAGGGTCCTTTATGCATAAATAGCTCTCCATCTGTAAAGTGGGCAACATCACGCCAGCCACCTTTACTTTCCAGGACATTTGGTAACTTATTTTAGGCTGAGTTATAAATCAATGCATGATGCATTTCTGAAAAAATTGAAGTGATTTGGGTACTTAATTTATAACTTACCCCTGATGTCACGACAACGTCACGGGAGACATTCCCAATAAATTCTAGGGTGTTCAGGTTGTAGTTTCTCGCGATTTATCTACAGCCAAGTTTAGGGTTAGGGTTAGGGTTAGCATTAGAAGACACTAGATGAAAAAAAAAGCACCACACAACAGCACACTTCCACCCCTTGAAATAATGGAATGTCAGGTCAGCTGTGGATTTCCCACGGGTATTTTGTGTTTGGGGTACGTTATAAATTAAGAACCGTTTTTTTATACTTTCTGTTTTACAGAATTCCAGCTGAATTTCATGAGGATTTAGTGTCTTGTGTTTTTGGGTCTGTTCGAGGAAAAATTGACGAGCAGTTAGAGAATGCTCGACCAGGTCTGCCCACTCTTGATCATTTGGGTTGGAGAGTTGATGTTGCTATATCCACTGGGTGAGTTTTGATAAAAATATTGCTCTCTGTACAGTTCTGTATTTTATTCAGCATATAAATATTTTTTAAATTACACCTTTTCTTCCTGGGTAAAGAAATTATGCATTGACAGGCAAGATTTGTTGGACAAGTTATCAATGAAAACAACACAATCCTAACCTGCACAGTCTGTGGCAACAACACTAGCCATGCAGCCTTAAATCCCCAGGCTCCAAGACCCTTCTGCTTACACCTCGGAAGTGGTAAATACAGGCGGTATTAGCAGTTTTTTGTGTGTGCAGGGAGGGGGGGGGGGAGGGGCAGTAAAAATTAAATAAACTTGTCAACTTAATGACAACAGGCAAACTAGGTGGAAAAATAGACAGTGGAAGACCCGAATGGTTTGCTGACATGGCATAAGTGGGACAAGAACAAAGACGAAGATGATCTTCTTCTTCTTTTTTTTCTTCTTCTTCTTCTTCTTCTTCTTCTTCTTTTTCTTCTTCTTCTACTTCTTATTTTTTCTTCTCCTTCTTCTTCTGTTGCTGCCCTTCTTCTTCTTTTTTTTTTCTTCTTCTTCTTCTTCTTCTTCTTCTTCTTTTTCTTCTTCTTCTACTTCTTATTTTTTCTTCTCCTTCTTCTTCTGTTGCTGCCCTTCTTCTTCTTCTTCTTCATCCCTTGCTCCTTCACCTCCCTGCCATTGGTTTTTCACATGAGAATGCCACAGACCTCTATGAAGGCTGTGACGTCACAAATGTCCTCTACTGATTGAGACAACTTGGTCTCCACCAGAATGCTAACTGGCTAGACGTGCGATCTTCCTGCCGCATGTAGAGAGCAAGTCTGCAGTGGCATAGTTCAGTATTCTGGGGGGGGGGGGGGGGGGGGGGCTGTCCACATGCACAGATCACATGGACTGGTCTGAGACTGGCGATCACATAAAATGGTGGACAGTGACTGAGTGTTTATTGGCATGGCACATGCTGATGATGATAGTTTTTTCAGCATGTTTTTGTTTGCCCTCATAAAAAATGCAAGACAGTGGAGAATGGAGAGAGCAACATAGCAATCTATTATCTGTTCATATTATTACTAATTACTGGAATCATGAGGGCAAATAGACTGCAATGATTAGGGCATATAGAGAGAATTCAAAATTAAAGTGAGACAAAACCTGTATACACAAAAGATATAATGGGAGGGGGCATGAGGCAGACCAAGAAGACAGTGGAAAGATAATGTACAGTCAGACCAACAAACATTTGCAGTCACAGAGAGGAATAGAGGTGGACGATAACTGCAGCATTGAACCTCAAGGGTTCGAATGCTGTAGAAGAAGAAAAAGAATGGTTTTTTTTAAAGTATTCATCACAGTGTGTGTGGTTGGGGGGGGGGGGGGGGGGGGGTGAGGTAAACACAGTGGCCACTATTCGTTGTCAGTATATCATGTAGGTTTTTTTTTTTTTTGGGGGGGGGGGGGGGGTGTTTATAATATATTGGCCAGATGGTTGTAAATTCGTATCTCAACTGAAGCCCACGTGAGAGAAATTAATTTGGTTGGTGCCTTGTGTGACTGACTGCATGTGCAACTTCTAATCTGTTGTAACTGCTGCATCCGTCAACGATAAACTGCCTTTCTAGTGCCAGAATGTTTGCGTTGGCACTTCTGATGATTGCCTTCTGCAGTTAATGCATGTGTGTTCTAATGACTTTGCTGAGCCTGCAGTCTTTGGTCAGTCTTTTGTCTCCACAAAGGACCGAAATGGACATTCTGTGTGGTTTTCATTGGCACAGGAACAGAGGACCGGCTGTAAACTCTAGTGGAAAGTTCCGGCTGCTCTTCCATCTCTGGACTTTAGTCTTATTCCACAACCTGCGTGTTGCAGACACATCCTTTTACAGATTTGACCCCTTTTATGCAGACTATTGGTTTTTTGCATCTTCAGAGGAAGCCTCCAGTTAGTCGACTCTTAGGACATGCTTGTTGGGGAGGCAGTCAGTCTATTTTTGTTGCCCCAATAATGGGGCCCCGGAATCTACATGAGGAAGTTATATAACTCCAAGAAGATGGCAATATATTGGGCACATCCAGAGAAGACGTGAACAGAGAAGCACCAAGTAGGCACTGAAATGAGAAAATTGTTTAGTGGAATGGAGGACTCCAAGAGAAACCATAAGACCAATCTTAATGAGAGATGCCAAAGAGGGTAAACTAGATTCCATTCATGGTATTTTAAAATTGCAAGGATAAAGTGAAATGGAGGAATATATTTCCGTGCCTTTGTGATGTTTAAAATTAGTTAGTCTTTCCTCTTGTGTCGAGTGCGGCACAAAGGGCAGAGGTCATGACTCTCCATGCATGGTGGTTCGTTGCAATCTGTTGTAGGTCTTGGATGTTTGAGTGGCCCATGATGATAGTTCTACGTAGGGTTTCCCTTGGTCTTCCACGAGATCTTTTCCCCTGTGGTGTCCAAATGAGTGCTTGGTAAGGAAGTCTTGATTTATCCATTCTAAGGGCGTGGCCGACATAGTTCCAGCGGCGTTTTCGTATAAAATTAGACACATACTCTTGCCTGGATTCTTGCCTTATTTGTGTATTGGTTCGGAAATCTGACCATTTGAAATTTAATGTTAAAAATATAGATATTAAAATGAGTTTTTAACTTGTCTGTTGAAAATGTCACTGAGAAACTAATGTTTTTTGAAGGGTGCTGAATCGAGTCCTGGTTCGAGGTGTTACCATGGACATGACCTTATCTGATGGCAGCATTAAAGATTTTGAGGTATGACCTTCGACCATCGTCTTCATGAACATTATAATTTTTCCATTATGTTCACTGTTTATTCTGCAGAAACCATAATTTTCAAGATCTTATCTCTTACAACTATTATCATTACCAAGGCTTGTTTCTGCCGGTACACAATTTATGGTATCAGTTTTTAGTACTACTGTAATATTCACTTTGTGGTGAGTATCAGCACCTTCTTAAAAAAAAAAAAAAAAACCTAATATTCATCTTCTTCTTCTTTGCGTTCACTGGCTTCAAACTCTGGTAAAAGTTATGGTTATTTGTCCGCTTCTGGACTCTAGTCCTGTTCCAGAACCTGAGTGTTGCATGCACATCCATTTTACAGATCTGACTCATTTTTATGCACTCTGTTGGTTCCTTGCCTCAGCAGATACACTCCGACTTTAAAGGAAGCTCCCAGTTAGTCAACTTTTATAATATGCTTTTGGGAAGGCAGTGGGTCTATTCTTGGAACCCAAATGCGAATAAACCAGTCTATCTGCTGTTTCATTGTGGACAAAACTTGTGTGTGCTTTGGGGAGAGTAATGAAGGAACCACGATGGGACAGAGGTGGCTAAACTAATAGTGTGAATAAAAATAATTCACAGCTAACAATCTGAAAATAATTAATTGACAACTATATGCACCAGATATGAAATCTTCCCTGGACATATTTTAGATCCAAACGCAAATAAGACAAGAGACGAAGCAAGATAACATATCCAGTTTTATAGGATGGCCCCATTGGAACTACATCAGCCATGCAATCAGAATGGATAAGGCAAGACTTCCCCTATCAAACCCTCAAATGGACGCCCGAAGGGACAAGAAAATGGGGAAGACCAAGAGAGACTGTATAGGTCCATCATCAGGGAGGGCTCAGCCATGGGCCTGACAGACATCCAAGATCTAAAAGCAGGTGGCAGCGACCCACCAGACATGGAAAGCTATGACCTCTGCCCTGTGCGCCACCCTAGGCTCGAGTAAAGACTAACTAGCTAACTATATGCAACAGAAGAAAAACCTGGGTTACCCAGTGAACGTGTGGTGAGCTGCAAAGTTCAAGAAAAAGTTTAATATGATGTATGTCTGTGTTATTCTGTATGATTTATTTTTCTTTGACAGATGTCGGTTTCCAGATTTCAAGATCTTCGATTTCAAGTAGCCTCAGTTCTGAGTGAGATGGAGAAACTGGAAAAACGCAGCATATTGAAAATTAAAGATTAAAAATGTGATTGTTGAATTTGCTGTTTATTGTATGAGTAAGAGCTTGATAAATGTGTGAACGCCTGAAGAAGAACTCTTTTGATGTACTTTTGGGTAGGCAGTGGGTCTATTCTTGTGTACTTTTGGGTAGGCAGTGGGTCTGTTATTGTATTCCTCACAATGGGGCCCCAGAACCCATACGGGGATAAACCAATTCCAGTTTGATGCATATAGAGAGAATGACAGATAAACAGAGACAGTCACGCGTGATTATGTAGTACACAGTATGTCAGTTTATTTTTTTCTTTGTTGAACCATTGAAGAACTTGATATATGTTGATATTTGACTTGATTAAAAACTGATATGTCATACATCTAGCATGGAAGCATTGACTCTTTGAGTCCCCAGGAACGCATCATACATTCATAGATTTCTAACTAGAAGTCCAATGAATGCAAGATGAACCGATTTTACGTTTCTCTTGACTACCTCTTGAGCTTGTGATGCTAAAGTCTCTGGGACTCAGAGAGCTAATGTAAATGAAACACTAGAAATGTAATGACAACTGACAAATCTGATGAGAAGTGATAATGGAAAAACTGAGTAAAAAATAACATCAAGATCCAGGAAGGCTTACCTAACCCAGGTGACAAATGCCTGAAAAAGTCAAATGTGTTTGCCGAAAGAGCAAATATTGCAGATATGCTGTGAAAGGGCACAATGGGATCGCATCCTTGGATAAACACAGTTGAAGATGAAGAAATATTCAGCTGGCTTTTCCACATCACATAATCAGGACAGTATTAGCAGTTGTTGATCTGAGACTGGTAATCTTATGAGATTAACCCTTTGGAGACAATGCGGCCTAAATATCGGCCCAACACAAAGTAGCTAAAAGGACGACTAGGCCGATTGGTTGGCCCTATATAATAGAAGTCTTGATGTTGGTTGGCAGGTTTTCATACCAGCCAATCAGACTGCTTCTTGCACATGTGGGCTGTTCATTGACGGCTTTCGAGAAAGTTTAATGTGTTCTGCAATTTTAACATCTATTATTTTCTGGGGTTACCAGTTCCCAACAATGGCGAAAAGGACTGTTGCATCATTACAACCGAAACATAACTGGAGACAGGAAAATGAGTAGAACCATGTGCCAGAAGTGTCTGAAGGGCCTCCAAGGGCCTTACTTCCCAAATACAGGTGTTAGGACTTATTCAAGCTTCATCCATATGTACATTTTTTTTTAGGTTAGTTATGTTTGTTCCCAAGTTTTACAAATATTGCTTGCATAAATTATGCAAATCAGAATAGTTAATTTGAATAATTGTTGAGATTTCAGTTTGATTCATAAATATTCTGTTAGTTCATTCAATTTCCTACACGAATATATAAGATTTTGTACATGTTAATTAAACGCTTTATTTTGTATATTTATTTGTGTATTAACTATGAGAATTCGCTCCTGAAGGCTCCCGTCTTCTTGGCACCGAAATTCCAAAAAGGCCTCGTCTCCAAAGGGTTTATTGACAAGACACATGGTAAGCGAAAAGTAAAGTAAAGGTCTCTTTTCCACACCTTCAGGCGTATAGGGCATATAGGGCTAGACCTATATTTTTATAGACCAATCGGCACAAGATGGGTGATGTGGTCAACATCACGCCGGCCGCCTCTACTTCCCGGTACTGTACCCAGTACCCACTCAAGGCTGGGTCGACCTGGGAGCCAAGGTCATTTTTTAAAATAGTCCGGCTCCGCCAGGGACGAACCCATGACCTTCCGGTCCACAGCGAGCGTCTAGCCGCTCGGCCACGGCGACCCCCATACACATGGTGGTAATTATATATTTTATTGTTTTGTGTAGTTAGTTGGTGCATATAGACGGAATTAATAGAGAGACAAAAACTGTGAATACAATTGGGAGAAGACCACAAGGTAGACAAAGACAAACGTAGAGAGATAATATACAGGCAGATCTGCAATACTTAGAAGCATCAGCCGGAAACAGAAAGCCAGTTACAAAGATAAATGAAGGCAAGAGATATCTGCAGACGTGAACCTCAAGGGTACAGAATGATGAAAAAGAAGTAAAATTAGTTAAAGACAGTATTATCTGGTCACACTTATTCATTGTTTGATGTGATGTTTATTGTCAGTTGAATTAGAACATAAACTTAAATGTATCTTTTATCATGTTTGTTGTCAGGGTCATTATCTGCTTTCTGCCACTAGGCATCACAGTTTGATAGATAATAGGCAGCTGAGCCAGGGCATGCTCAGTTCCCTGATGTGGTGTTATGTTGTGAAGTCTTAGGCTATCAGTGACTCTTTCAGTCCATATTCTTCTAATTCTTCCTCTGCTTCTTGATGTTTTCCATTTTCATGTTGAACTATCTCAATGCTGGCCTCCCTGGATTCATTCATTCTCACTGTGTGGCCGAACCAGCTAAATGTGTGACAGTTATAATCAGGAAAGTGATTGATTAGGTCTGTTCCTTAAACTGTTTTATAATGTTGGTTGTTTAAAAATTTTATTGCTGATTTGTTAATCAATTAAAAAAAATATCAAAACAGTTCCAGCGTTAGAACCTCTGTTATTATAAAGTATTTGTAATCATTGTCCTGTTATGTCATTCTGTGTCACAAAGGGTTTGCAGCCTGCTCCTCCATTCTTAACCAGCAGACATTATCCATGTCTGCCCTGTCCAGTAGGATTTATGTAATTAATGGTAGACTGGCTGGCTCTGCACCACTTGGTGGTGAATTGATGTATGCCAAATTAGATATTTTCAGGGCCCTTTGGGAGCGAGTAAACAGTGCATAGGTGCAGATAGATCTTTACAGTCTAAAGAGAATAGTGCTGCGAGGAGTTATCAGGGGGATCTGGTCGACGCTCAACACTCAGGGAAAGGATAAGACGGAGATAAAATCAGATGGTTACTGTACCATCGGAACTCTTTGCATGCTGCTGAAGATGGGGACTGAGCACTTTTGGGCGTGTCCCTAGTGCTGTGATGTTGATTCTTACTTCAACATTCAGTTAGTTCCTCCATTCAGTTCTATGCTGTGCAATCACTTTGATATCACAAATGGAATCCAATGTTTGCTTTACGGTTTCTTTTGAATATCCTCGTGTCCTCACCCCATCTATTTCCCATTGCAGTGCCTGTATGCTGATTCTCTGTTTGTCTCTGTAACTATTGATACTATTTGTTGCTCAGGCATCTCTTAGTTCTTATTTTTTTTTTTAATTTCTCCCATTTATGTTCATTAAAACTTTCCTGTATGTGCAGTTGCCTTCATATTTGTCCCAGGGCATGCAGGCGTTGTTGGTAATGAAAGAGCTGATAGATTAGCAGGTGCTGCATTAATTGAAGATGTCCAGCCCATCAGAGTGAACAGACCACTGGGTGGTTAATTGACACACGACAAGGCAGATTTGGTGAAGGCCTTATTGGAATAAGCAACGGAATCAGTCGAGAAACAAGATTATTATGGCCTGGAGAGAATGAGGCACCTGGGTGTAACCAGTGGGTCTGGCCGGCTCACTACATTCAGAGGAAAGACAAGACGGACGTATAACCAGATTGTGACCGGCACCATCAGTATTGGAACTCTTCGCTGGCTGCTGAAGATGACGATGAGGATGGAGCAAGACTTTGATCTTGTACCAGAACTTAAGTTTTGCGCGCACATCTGTTTGACAGAGGTGGCTTCAATGTTATGCAGACTGTTGACTCCTTCCCTCCCAGGCAGCTGCACTCCAACTTTAAAGGAAAGACCCTAGTGGAGGAAAGGGGGGGGGGGGGGGGCCTATGGGTCTATTCCTCCTCCCTCCCCCCCACCCAATAGTCCTGTAATCCCCACTTTCAAAGATGCAACATACATTGTCCCTGCATAGTATATAATATTTGGCCATATTTCAAAACATAAAAAACAAAAGACATATTATCATGAAGTGATACACATGGAACAGCTAATAACACACTGTGTTGGTTGGGATGGAAAGTGAAAATGAAAAGGAAAGACAAACCTCCAATTTGGTCTTATCCTCATCAAATATTTTGAGCTCTCTATTATCACACCTGACATTCACAGATATAAATAACCAACAAAACAAGCAATAAGCAAACGAATACTTCATTTATTAATACCAAAACACTCAACAAATGACAATCAAGTAAAATAAAAAATGTCAAAAAAAAAAAAAAAAAAGGAATCACTTGCCCTCTCGGGGCTGATTAAAATGATAGGAGTTCATGGAACAGAAAAATAAGAATTGTATCGAAATATAAAAAATATAACGCATTCACTAATTTGGCGCAAACTTTAACTCAGATAGAAGTCATGTGTTCAGCATGTGTTCATACACAGAATGCAACATGAGCTGAGATCTAGCACAGTTCAGTTATTCACTGCTTGTTGTGTTTATTTGGTTTTCTTGTGACTACCTTACCCAAACATGGCCGGTTGAAGTGTGTTAGTTTCTTGACCTTTTAGGGCAGAGTTTCCAAAAGTGATTTTAAAGGAGGGCAATTTGATTGTTGGGGGGGGGGGGGGGGGGGGGGGAGAATTCATTTGTAAAAAAAAAAAAGGGGAGGGGGCAATTCATTTGTAAAGGGGGACAATTCCAAAATGGGCTCATCCAGAGTTTACACTACATGGGGGGGGGGAGGGGGGGGGGGGGGGGGGGGGCTAATTATTTTAGAAAGGTTTCAAATGAGGCATGGTACACACACAAGTTGGGAAACACTGTTTTAGGGTCTACAGTTGCCTTTTAAATGTTTTATTAACAAATGGTGGGCACTTCTCAAGCTGGTCATAATAAAATACAGTAAGGGACTCCACTCCTGTCATGCCACCGATGTATCTGGCATATGATGCTACTCCTTGTTTAACAGATCAACCAACCCTCAATGGATGATGTGGTTAGCATCAAGCCGGCCCCTTTTACTTCCCAGGACATTATCTGGTACTCATTTTAGGCAAGCTGGCAATAATGCCTTTTACATTTTTATGACAA